AAAACAAGTGAACCACCACACATTAAAGTGTAGCGGGACATTGCAGGGCATTCTCAATGCTACATTACACTTCAGTAGTCTACATACTTCAAATAGGGTATAAGATCCATTGAAGTTGTCATTATGCCAGAAACAGCATCAATTACGGTCCTAATGGGAAGCCTCATTTTACATTATCCAGTTATCATGCAGCTAACTATTAAAGACATTACTCATTTGGTATGGAATATTGATTACAATGGTTTTTTGCAAGATAAGATGATTTACAAGCTTCAAATGACAGCTCTGTCGATCTGTTACCATAGAGAAACAACTCGGTTTGATAAATACATTCGGCCTCCAACTAATAATCAAGCATTTGAATGAATTAAAGTGATATCGTAAAACAGTTTGATTGTGACCATCAGAAGCCGTTTCTCTGCTGGAACCAAGCAGAGTTGGAAACAAATATAGGTATAAGATGATCAGATGTGCCTTATTGGCCAATCAGGAGTAAGCATTTAACAAAGCCATATAATGAATTGGAATATTTGAAATATTATTGCTAACTGGTGAAATTTTGTAACTTAATAATTCTTAATGAAACCTTTGTAACCCTTCAGCTAGCACTGCAACTAATGATTATTTTTATTCATCTGTTGATAATCTTTTGATGATAATTAATCAATTAATCATTTTTGGTCTATTAAATGCCAGAAATTTGGGACATCACACCCAGCGGGACATCAGCGTCATTAGACATTGACGTATGGTTGAATGTAGGTTGTGACGTCAGGTCTAATGACAGTGCTAATCTGAGGTCGAATACCTGAAGTTTTGTTGGTTTTAAGTTGTGTTGCTAAGTAACCAAAATCCAACATCTTCCAAACATCTCATGCCACCAGCATCTTGACATCTAAAACACAGACATTCTGGTCATGAGCAAAACCCAACGTCTGGTAAACATCACAGTGTCAGTTAGACTTTCAATTCCAATCAAAAACGAATGGCTGTTTCCGAAATCACTCACTACTCCCTCTTTAGTCCACTATATAGCTAGTTCGCCATTTTGTAGTGCTGTCCAAATGTATAGTGAGAATTATTATACCCTATATAGTGGACTCAAAGTTATCCCACAATGCCTTGGTAAAAGTAGTGTACAATTGATGGTCACTAACCAAGCAATATATACCATCATGCCTTGGCTCACGCTGAAATACAGAAAAACGATCTGGAGAAAATGACCTGAGTAGTTGGTGAAGTAGCTGAAGTTCAAACCAGTGAATGCTTTTGGCTTTTTCTTGATAAATGTCTTCAACAATTATCAGAGTTGTTATTGAATCATTTTCTGTTCATCTATTCATTTTTTCAGCTCTGCCTTCAACTTAACACACACTGTTAAACAGACAGAAAAACAAGGCTGCTTTTATAAGCTTACAAAACACTGGCGTTCTGGATATACAAGGACTAAAACATCCGCAAAATCCAGGTCTATAAATACAGCACTGCGGAATATATTTAGCTCCGGTTCAGTGCTTCCTATAGTGTCTGTCTGCACTCTCTTCCTTCACATGCAGGCATGTTTGTGTTTGCCTTCCCCCCAACCAGCAGCACTGTCAGTATCTCTAGGCCTGGTCCCGAAGCACTTTAATAATCTGCACACATTTATGAGCCTGTGTCCGAGCTCATAGATCAGTGTCAGCACGCCGACCAACGAGAACATCAGTCAGATCAGATACAGACTAATGAAGGCCTGCTCATATTACCTCCACCGTCAATCAAACACGCCGTTAGTTAATCATCAGCATCTCTCTCATTAAGAAACACAGATTCCCACTGAGATTCAGCCCAGGTCTTCTCGCAGGTTGATGTATGTGATGCATGGGTTCACATAAAAAGGTCAGGTGACATTTATTGTTGTCTTCTGTTAACTTCACCGTTACGTTGCATCGCAGTGATGTGATGTGCTTATGCAGGATTACACAGGATGACTTACGATGATTGGACGTATTGATTACTGATGTGGTATTAAACGTCACGTAGGGATTGAAAATGTAATCCACTGGTTCCTAGAAATCCTCTTTAGCAGGAGGTGGCCATGTTCACAGCAAGCACTCTTTTTATTACTGCATTGCATTGACTTATATCAGCTCAGGGGGGAACAGGCGAAGTTTAATTTCGTGTTTTTTCACATGTTTCTTTTTTTTTGCTATAACTTAACTTGAGCCTTTATTTTGAAATTCTTTAGATGTATTGCAGTGCTAGTTAGTCAGTGAAATGTCTCAACAACTATTGGATGCAATTTGGTTCATTTATTCATTCATGATCCCTCACTTTTTTAATTTGGTTGGTTTATGTTATTGGCATTATCACTGCGATCATGTTAGCATACTGATGTTAGCATTTTGTCAAAGCACTTACGTACAGCCTCACAGAGCTGCTAGCATGGCTGCAGACTCTTTGCCTTTTTAACGAAGACCTACTGTATGTAATGTTGCAAGCTTTTGTCCCCGACCCTGAGCCCTGTTCTGTTGGAGCTTTCTTCCTGTTAAAAGGGAGTTTTTCCTCCCCCCTGTTGCAAAGTGCTGGTCTTTGTGGGAACTGTTGAATTTCTCTCTATAATAAAGTAAGGTCTTGACCTTACCCTTTAAAGAGCCTTGTCATAATGTATATTATGATTTGGCACTATACAAATAAAGTTGAATTGAATTGAATTGAATTTTGTCTATTAACATGTACTAAAGGAAAACATGTTAATGAAGGCCCAGCTTTTGCTTTTGATTGGCATAAATTTCAATTGTCCTTTTATACTTGTGGAGAAATTAATTTTAAGTAAATACATAAATAATTGAGTTGAGTCCACGTGAAAACCTCCAACCATATTTATTTTTTAAAGAGAGTTTAAAGTTTGAGTTATTGTAAAGTCTCTGTTGTCAAAGCATAGGACTCATGAATTTTTATTATATATTATACAGTATGTCTTTTTACAAGTTCAAATACAGCTACCTTCAGCATTAGTGCTGCAAATGATTTAATTTGTTTTCAAACATATATTGAACATTTGGGGATTTAAACTGATTTTAAAGCCAACACAAATTCACCTAGGAGCTAGTTGTAGAGATGATTTCCTCCCACCAAAATTGATAACGCTTTTCCCTTGATTTGCAGATGTGCATGATGACATCATAACATTAGTACAGATATCAGTCTTAGAAGAGGTTTTACCTACTTTTAGAAATGTCAAAAAAAATCAAAGCAAGGAAGTGATACTGTCCTATATTGTACAAATGTAAGAGCAGGAAGTGAAGCATAGTTTTATCAATCATCAATGTCCCAGTCTCATTGTCCTTTACAATCTTTCTCTAACATGCAGAGTGAGTAAAATTGTAGTTCTACATCCAGAGCAACATCGTCTGTGTCAGTGTCTTGTCTCCTCTATGAACGGTAGGGTCATTCACTGCGGCAGTTCCAGCTGGGAGTCATGTGGAGAGGGCGTGGAGAACTTTGACGTGGTGACAAGATTTCATTGTGGTCACGTATCCAGCAGACAGAAAATGACAGTCTGCTCTGATGTATGAATAAAGACATTGTATTAGATGCTGAGAAACTCACTGGCAGACATAGCCGCAGTTTTTATTTATCCAAGGAAGGGTTGCTGAGCATGCACGCTGCTTTCCACTGACACCCTGGAAGCTGGCCAGTACACAGCAGTTGGAGGTTGTGTCTTTTTGTAGAAAAGTTTTACTCACTCATCATTCATGTCCAGATGTTCTCAGTCTGCAGACTGCTTAAAAGCCCACTTCTCCTGACTTTACTCTCAAGCTCATGGCATTGTTGTGGTCTTATAATTTGTGATTTACACACAGGAGCAAAGCAAGTCCTTACTGAAGGTCACGACACATTAATGAGGCCAGTTTTGATAACGAATCCTTTTTTCTGTGTCCTGGATCCACCGCTCATAGTCACATTTGCTCATTAAGCAAATAGTCGCCCCTTTTACCTTTGTTGCTTTTCAGCCTTTGAACTCAACTACAGAAAGAGAACCACAATAATAAGGATAATCATGTATAAGTATTTATAGGGAAGGCAGTTTCTCCATGCTTTCATGACAAACCTGATTATTATGGTTCCGCATAGACTTACAAAAGGTCAACTCGTCTTTAGTTGAAAGTGATACTCGTCATCAAATTGACAAAGGTGGGATTGTGCTTCCCTGACGCCCCGTCACTGGTGTTATCACTGCAGTTCTCACCCTAATCCATGCAAGTGCATCACATGATGGTCATGTGACCTGAAAAAACCCAACCTTAACTACTCATATTCTGTGTGTGAAGGTTTAAAAGGCTGTAACTTCTCAATATTCAGTAGAGCTAAGCTTCGCAATAAAACACTGACAGTGCTATGAATAGAGTTAAAATTGAGTCAAATTTACATTGATAATTTTTATTAAAAATTGAATATTTCTCTTGCATAGCTCCTCATTTTCTCAAGAGCATTTTGAATTTTACAAATTGAATGTCTGAACATCACTTTACCTGAAGCTAAACTCTAAATTCTAAATTGCGCAAATAAATGTTCCTTGGCATTGCAGCCAAACTATGATGCTGTCAGATAGTGATTGTGAATACATATTAGGCCAATATTTGATTATATCAAATTTCGCAATATTTCCCACCATATGCAATATTTTTCATTATATCGAAAAAAAAAATTAAACATCAACTCAGGCTTTACACCCTGTGTTCATCACAGTGAAGTAGGGTCACCTGAGGCACAACACAAACAGAGAGCTCATCTGAGGCTCAATGAAAACGTTCACTGTGGACACAACCCTGCACCTGAACTTTCAGTGTTTCATTCCCTAAGAAGGCAACAGTCTCTGCTATGAGGGGTTTGATTCCTAATTATGTCAGCTATGTTCAAATGAAATCGCCCTCCAAATATCCAGAGTCGAGCCGTGTCACGACACCAGTGGCTCTGACACCAGTGACTAACCTGACGCCTCGTCTTCCCTCTTGTAGGAACTCTGTCGGCAGCGCATGGCGGTCAAACCTCCTGCTGAGCGTCCGGAGCCCATCTCCTCCAGGATCAACAGCGTGTCGTCTCAGTTCAGCGACAGCGGTCAGGCCGTCAGTCCCTCGGCGCGGAGCAGCATCTCCTCCTGGAGCGAGGAGCCCGCCCACTCCAACATGGACATCTCCACTGGTCACATGATACTGGTGAGTTCCTGATCCAGTCTCTTTGTTGCGTTCATCACACCATACAGTGTTAGCGAGAGTCCTACGCCTGCACACTGAAGCAAAGTATTATAATAGTCAGTGATCTTCAAGGACATCATTGGAAATGGGCATGAATTTGTGTCGGTGACATTAAAACTAACTGATGGATTTGAAGGAGACAGTTAAAGATTTGAAGGCGGATCGAGGACTGTCTTTCCATTTTGGACCAAATCGTTTGATAACTAATGGTTTTAAATGACTCCATGTCCTTTTCGATGAATCAATGGAGCATTAATGTGTAAATCTCCACCCACCTCTCACATTACACAGTTACACCGAGTTGTTGAAAGGGGTTGACTAAAATTTTGACCCTGAGTTTTATGAAAAGGTTTCGCTGCTGAAATAAACAGTTAACTCAGTTCATCCCAGCCTGGTCCCAGACCTGTGAATTACTTCCCACATCTCCAGTTTTTCAGTTATTCAAATACGTCTTGTGAGGTTCTCATTAATGGCTGTTAGCCCTGCTGAAAGCCGTGTAGGCAGGATTAAGAAGAAGAATTGCTACGTCCATGAAAAATTGCAACAAAAAAAATTCAACAAAAAACTGTGATTAGCGTGGATTAGATGGGCGCAGCGAATCTTAAATCGACATATTTCTTTGGCCATCATGAAAAAAAACTGGAACCAGGAACCGTTACCGCAGCTTCTGTGTTGGTTTAAAATTACATTGGTGGCATGAATATGTCACTGAACTAAATACCACCCATCCCAAATAGAATTGGGCTTTACATGAACATGAGAACAGGCTGAATGATCAAGTGAAATGTAATGGCAGTCCAGTCCCTCAATAACAGCATATTCCAGAGTGAATTTTATCTGAGTTCCAATGGTCGTTTTACAAGAGAAGTTAAACCTGTTTTTAAACGGTGGATCTGCACTATAGCAAGAAAAATCACCACTCACTGTATTATTCCTGGCTTCACATTTCTACAGTATGTTTTACCTTTGTTGTCGGTTGCCTGTCTCTCCAAACTGCCACCACAGATTTCCCGTATCACCTGATTCTCTCACCCCTCATACCATTTATCTCTTTATAAACCACTGGAACTATTTCACCTCCATCTCTCACATGTCTATTCTGCATTTCTGCATATACCACTCCTTTCCCTCATACACACACACACACACACACACACATACACACACACACACATACACATACACTTCTGTTTGCCCTCTCATCTCACTGTCTCTCTCATCTTTCTCCCTGTGTCTTTTTTTGTTTTTTTTTTTGTTTCTGTACATCTCATTACACCCACAGTTTCTAGGCTTCTTACCCTCTTCTATCCTGCAGATGAAAATCTCTATTGAACCTCGGTCGCATTTCGTCGAGCGCTATCGTAATTGCAATATATAGCTATTCACTTCAACCGCCCACCACCCTCAGCGCCACCACCTCCTCATCCCCGCTCCCCCATCTCCACCTCCCGCCTCTCTCTCTCTCTCTCTCACTCTGTCTCTCTCTCTCTCCCTCTCTCTATGCATTATGAAGCTGGCGGCGAGATGTGACAGAGCGGCCTTTTTGATGTGTTCAATAGGCACAAAGATACTAATTACCCCTGAGATTTGCACCAGAGTTGTGTTCAGGAGAAACATCTCCCTGTGCAGCCCTGTGCCACTGCAGAGAGCCGCTCTGTTGTTTTACACAAACGCGCAATCCTGCTAAAATGTCTCTTTGGCAAACCACAACACGACATGATGCATGCCTTTGATACGCCAAGGTCACTCAAATATGTTTGAATTTTTTAGACAGCGAGGTCTGAACTTTCTCAGGTGCGTCGGCTTTGTCTTCGCCAGATGAAGCCGTCTCAGCAGAGGCGGCGTCACTTGAGAGATAAGAGGAGTGAAATTAAGTTTTGCTCATGTTTAGTTAAGTATTCAGTTGGTGTGTGGGCCTCAGTCTGCTCAGGGTGATTGCTGAATTTGTTATAATATAGAGACTAATATGTAAATGATGTGAGGGATGGAGAGAGACCAAGTGAATCTGATGTGGCCGCGATGATTAATACATTTCGTGTAGGTGATGGAGATGAACATCCACTTGAAGGATGATACTCCACTTGAATCCTCGCCACAGAAACTTCAGAGTTCTAAAAGATATTTTCCATCAATCTTTCAGAGATACAGTAAAGTGCATTGAACCAAGAGACCTTCATCACCAGGAAACAAATAAAGAGTCAGTCATTCAAACGTTCAAATGCTTAAATCGATGCGCAGATAATGATTTTCCTCTCTCAGAAGCAATGTCAGAAGTATTGTGACGTAGTTACAACATTGCAAATCCTTGTTGGATGGGTTTCAATCTTTTAATTCAACCTTATCACCAGACAAGAACATATACATTGAATAATTCTGAAAAAACCCTGATTACATTCATGACATGCACTATGGTTATGGCTAGAGAAGAATCATGGTTATGAAATATAAATTATGAATAAGGTACAGTTGGGGTCAGGCAACTAAAACATGTGGCTAAGTTTGGGGAAAGGTTTTAGTTTCGGTCTCTGACTGGATGTAGATTTGGATCTCGCCACAGCTGGATTTAGGAATCATCCAATATTAATTTATCTGATTTCCTTTAATGTCATTTATTTCACACAAATCAGAGTAAATTTACAAGTAAAAGCAGAAACATGAAAATAGCAATGGGTGAAAATGAAACACCCTGATAAGCTTCAGAAGCTTGCGAATAGGGGACCATGTCACTGCAATTACAAAAACAATTTAAACCTCAAAACACCAGAAAAACTTAATGGTCCAAAAGCGTCTTTACCATCAGGTCAAACATTAATTCAGTAGGTAAGTATTTTAACCAGTACCACAACCTCTTTCTAACCTTAAACAGACAGGAACAAATTAAAGGAAAATCTTGAATAATTGAGTGAAGAAACTTGACAGTAAATGCAGATGGCTCTATACAGGGCATGAGGGGTCACTGAATGATTTGATTGTGAATCATATTTTATGGCTCAATTTGACATCTGTAAGAGATTTTGGACCAACACCCCCGCCATCATAAAAACAACAAATGAAGAACTATCTTATGGAGGAATGGTCTTCATCCCTCCAGCAGAGTTCAGAGACTTGGAGAATCAATGGCAAGTTGCATTAAAGCTGTTCTGGCTGCACATGGTGTTCCAGTATCTTACTAAGACACTTCATGTCTGTTTCCCCTTTAAATTATCATCAGTTTTTTAGTTTTAGTTGCTTAAACTTACCAATTTACCACTTACTAAGGTTACTTACCTTAACCACAGAAGTAGCACATCAGTCATATGAGTTATTTTGGAAAGCTTGGTGAACCTATTTGGTTGTTTTGGTGTGTGTACTTGTTGGACTAATCCAATTATATGGACTTGACTAGCTGTGTTTTTATCCAGTGCCAGTGTTTTTCTAGATATATATAGATGTAGATTGAGATTATGTAGATACATCTATATATACTGTAAGTATGTAGGCAGCTAGAATGAGTGAGAAGCTCTAGAGTCTAATTTTGGTCAATGTTTCATTTGGCACCAGTGATAATGAGGAATATGACAGAGAGAGACTGGGATCTGATTGTACTTGTAAACTTTAAATTGAAATTATCTCAAATTTTCTATTTTAAATGGCCAAATCATCATAGAACACAATTCCAACCATCATAGAAATTTGATTGGTAGCTAATCCAATATATTATACTGGTTTAGCTACCAAACAAATTAAAAATTAGCAAAATGCCTCTGCTACATCCACTCACTCAGGAGTGACAGAAAGGAGTTTTATACAATCAACAGGTGTAAGAAGTCAAATGTACTTCTACTGAGCCAATTTTTATTTTTTTCTATTTAGTAGTTAGATCATAAACATAAAATGCACCTTTAACACAAACACTCTCCTTTTAATTGCAACTATGTTGTTTAATACTGATGAAAACTGTCCACATGGCCTCAGTTTATTAGGAGCCTCCTGTGCTGATGAGGAGTTAATGGTGTGTTTAACTCTGAGACCATGTTTCTGAAGCATCAAGGAAATAAAAAGGGGAATGAGCAGTGAGGTTTTGTCAGTCACAGGATGCTCGTCATCACACAAGGCGATAATGTGGGATTGTCAGTTAATGGGAGTGGGCTGTGAACACTTTGCTTTACCACTCACCGCAGTTATATGACACAGAGAAGAGGGGCGAGACCCGTCAGTGTGTTTCAGGACCCTGGACAGCTCCACACACTCACAGCGAGGCAAACTGCAGCTGTGATTGGCTCAGACTATCTCCAGTCTCCCTCAACAGAAACATAAGACAACAGAGGGAAAGTCTCATAACGCCGCCATCATCTGGAAAACCATGTATTTCTAAAATGTCAGCTTCTCCATAAAAAAAAAAAGAAAAAGAAAAAGGACAACCATGTAGTTTCCACTGGGGTTTGAAACCTTTCAGAAGCCCAAAGGTCAGATTGTTTTCTCAGCTTGTGGAGGAGCATGTAAACCTTCTGCTGAAGTTAAAAGATGAAGAGAACTAAAATTGGAATAACAAGGTTTTCACATAACAGTGACAATCTGGGAAATCGCTATTTTATGTCTCTCACTGCCCACAAACCGCCCACATGCCACTCTTTAGTGAAGGTTTTATAGCTTTGCCACCACTGTCTTCTTTTCATCCATCCCACATATTTCATTCATTAACTATCCTATCCTGCGTCTTGTTGCTAATTTGATCTTTTCTTTGTCATTTTCTTGTTATTCTTTCATCATCCTACATTTTTTTCATACTGCTTTCTTTCACTTTACTTTCTTTCCCAAGTTTTCTACAGTATTCTGTTCACTTTTCTTTCCTTCTTTGCTACTTCCTTTCTTTCTTTCTTGCATAATTTTTCATCCTTTACCTTTTGTACAATACCTATCCACCTGCTTTCTTCTTTCAATCTTTCATATGTCTTTGCATCGTTCTTTCTTCCACTAGTTTTTCTTCTTTCCCTATTTTTTCTTAGAATTTCTCTTTTTTCCTTCTCTCCCTCCGTTCTGTTGCAGTCAGGTCTGTCAGTTTCACACTTACAAGAGAACTCATTTCAGATTAACATCATGACGTTAACTAGAGACTGAGCTGAGCTGATTGGGACCCAGTCGACACATTTGGGGGAAGATTTCTTTTTTTTTCACAGTGGCGTCACAGCCATAGACCAAATCCATCGCAAATTGAGATCAGCGCAGCATCCTCACGGAAAAAGTAAATATTTCATCCCTGCCACGCACTCGAGTGAGGCAACTGTTGAGTGATTAATAAAAATCACGGCCGTCAGAGAAAGGAATAACATGATTTCTGATGAGCTGCGGTGCCCCACCTCTCTCCTCCTCACCATCCAACCCTTCCACCTCCCCAAAAAATTAATTGCCTTTCATAAAAACCCGGGCATATTCCATGTCATCATCCACCCACTGATTTTAATTTGAGGAGAAGCAGCTTTAACCATCTTATCTAAGTTAATGTATTACTTAGTCCCATGTGACAGGGACCGAACACCCCCGCACCACCGCCATCTCCTCCCCCCACATCCTCTCTGCTTGTGTCTTAAGAGGATTAGTCGACTCTATATATAAAGCACATTATCTAGTCTTTTGTTGTTGGCCAAGTAAGTGTTATAGATTATAGTGCAGCAGGAGCCTCCATCTCGATTAACCGTGCTGGGAGTGTGTGTTGTGGTTGTGGTTTTTCCGTAGCTCACCAGCACGCCAGCTGGGATGTGATCTGTGGAGTTGATAGGTCACAGGGCAACGGCTGGAGGAAGAGTGGGCTTCAGGAAATGGATGTTAAATCAATCTAATGCGGTCAGTTGAGTAGGAGGAAGCATTTCAGGAGCGGAGAAGTTAGACTCGTGTATGAGGATGATGTCAGTGTTTACTGAAAATAAGACAGCAGCCTCTGATATGAAGGATGGAGCAGATTGATGATGATGATTGCTTTAGAGTTCAGAAACGGGAAGTCTGATGCAGTGCAACTGATAATGCTGCAATAGTGTGATCAAATAAAAATGTGCACAAATGTGTTTTCACAAGAATCAAATTCTTCAGGAAGGACAAATAATCTGAGACTTAAAAATGTATAACATGTTCATTGATAAAATATCAAGACAGAAAGTTAGAAGCTCAGATCCAACTTACTCCAGATATCATTAATTTCAGTTTTTAAGTGTCTCTAAAAGATGTGTAAATGACAAAAGACAGTGGGAAACTTCACCCTTTATGATGTTTTCACTTGAAATGAAACTTCCCATTTGTATGATACAACAAGGATCGATCCTGTGTTCTCTTCATTGTTGTGTGTTACATTTCTGTGCTTGTTTGGACAAAAAAAAAAAAAGGACATAAAGAACTGTGCACAAGCAGTAACAGCCACTAAATAGCTCAAAACACAGGACAGCCATAGTTAGAGCAACTAACGCATTGACACAAAACATGTCTCCATCAGAGTTGGACTCTTGGTTACTTTCCACCTCTGGACACTCTTCCCTTCTCTTTCCCTGCTGAGTAACACTATCCTACATTGATTTTTTTTTTTCTTCACCCTTTTCCCCTCTTCTCCTCAGTCTGTATATCCAAAATGGCTGCTACATTACGTCACCTCCCATGCGGCCCGGCTTTCATGCTGTCGTTTCCTACAGGTGCTCAGATGGTGCGTCAGAGCCACAATGGCGGCTCGGGCAGTCTTATATTGCGTAGCAGTTTTTATTGAGCACCTTTGGCAGCTGTAAGCCCCCCCGCAATAAGGGGATTATTCAGTGTTTGGCCGACACATGGTGCTCTCAGCACCTCCTGATTGGATTGCAATAATCCCTTTACACAGCCACAAAACCCTATTACTCTGGCATTAGAGAGTGAGGGAGAGGGGTAGGGGGTGGGGGCATCTAATGTAGGACTGTGTGTGTGTGTGTGTGTGTGTGTGTGTGTGTGTGTGTGTGTGTGTGCTGTAAGACTGAATTCATTTCTATGTCTTCCGGTTTTTTTATTCTATGTTTTGTGTTGCTGTGTCTGCGTGCCTTTTGTGTGTGTCTTTGTAGTGTGTAGATGTGAGTCTGTGTGGGGGGACTGTTTTTGTGACCTTATAAAAACATGTGCTTTAGATGTATGTGCATATTCTTATGTATGTCGTATGTGTATGTGTGTGTGTGTGTGTGTCTCTTTTGACGGAGTTGGACCTCCTGCTGTTGATAAGCGGCTGTGTGCAGGTGGAGAGTCACAGCTCGCAGCTTTGTGTTACATCATTGCTGCTTTTAGTAGCTCTGAAGCAAATGCAATAGAGAGCTGATACTTTAACAAGGAATGGCTTGTGTTACACTGTGTGTGTGCGTTCGTGTGTGTGTGCATGTGTGGGGTCTGATATGTATGTGTGTTTTCAGCTATACACAATGCAGCTTAGAAGAGGTGAAGCCTGCTGCTCTGCTCTCAGCCTGTTAAAGACTAAGAAATAACAAGCCTGACCAGCTGCATGTCGACTCTTGTTGAGTGCACATGCTCATGTATGATAAAATCTCATATATGCATTTGATCAGGACACTTTCCCATTATCTTCGAGCTGCGCTGCCTTCCATTTTTAACAAACTCCTCTCATTTTAGCAGAAAGCCATTAGGCCTTTTTTGGAAGCTAACTCTGATTAAGATCAGCCTCATTTGTAACTGCCACCATAAATCATCGGCAGAGCCATTTAAAGAACCACACCATCTCATTTCACTCCCTCATCCATTACAAACCATCGCGCTTCCATATTTTGTGTGCAAGGGCTGCTGATTTCCAGGGCTGCTAAGAAAAACAAAAGCTACAGTGTGTAGCATCGGATTATAGCTAACCTTTTAGCCTCAGTGCTAACAACACACATGGTTAAAGCTAAGCTCATTTGCTGGCAGTTGATCAAACTCACATTGCCTTCCTTTATTATGGATACTGTACGGTAGGTAACGGCCAGGCTGAAACTGGTCGTCAAATAAACAGAGAGTAGATTAGGCTGTTACTCGCTCTGATTAAGATGCAACTAACATAGCATTTTGCGGCTATGCAAAGTACCTGGAACTCCAAGTTCCAGGTACTTGACTTCAGGAACTAAAAGGTTCCTGTGGAACCATTGTTGTTCGCCTTTCCACCTTGGCCTAAAGTCCTGGGAAGATTACACAAAATTATCACTTGACATTACATTACTCACAGCACTTTGAGGACATAGCATGAACGAAAATACAGGACAAATTGCGTCCCCTTATTCATTCAATAGAGGATGCAGCATTTTATTTTCAAATACAAGACGATCCCGTATTTTACGTGACAGGTGGCAACCCTAGCCACTCCGGTTGTTGTGGTCCTTTATTTTTTTGAAGTCCTGTTTCAGTTTTTTTACCTTCTCCCGGACCTGTTTCTCATAGTGGAAAATGTCTTCGCTCACTCGGTGCTCGCTCACTGTGGACTTTTAAACATCGCAGGTGAAATAAAATGCAGTGAGTACTCAACCAGACAGAAATGTTCAGCACTGCAGACCACATCCCCCAAAGTTCCTGAACCTTTGGAAAGTACTACCCCAGACCAGATACTTTTTTGGGGGTCGATCAATTACCCCGGAACTAAATTTAGAAATTCACTAAATAAAGTTCCTGCGGTGGAAACGCAGCTCATGTAGCAACTCATCCCCACACCAGCATTTATTAGAATTTCTGAAGTATTTTTTACTTTTTGTTTTAACGTACGTGGAGAAGCAGAGGGAGGAAGCTTATAACAGACCTGACGGTTTCATTCTCCTCAGTTCCAGGAGTTTGTTCAGATTACTGTGTAATATCTTGAATATCTTTGCCGGCTTCAGTGTCTGTGATGACATATTGTAAACTGAGGTGTCCTGATGCAGTAGACTCCATCCATCTGCTGATTTAAGCAGGTTAAAACAGTGTTATCTTTGTTTTCCTCTCCACCTCAGTGGAGCGACAGATGGGTGCGATTTGCCACTTAGGAAAACAGTAAGTACGTTTAAAAGTTGATTGGCAATCACAGGAGAGAGCCCCATCATCTATATGGTTACTTCTCTTTGACTGACAAAATAACTGGTACCTGATCCTTCATCTGGTGCTCCACTGAGGTGCCAACCAACAGCCTGCCAGATACTTTATTAAAGTTGTTTACTAAGTTAAAATCACAGGCTAGTGATGGTTTGTGATTGACAAATCAATTGAAACCCTCTTCCTAAGAGATACAGCTTGTCCATCAGGTGTTTCAGATAAAGAAAGCTTAACCAAAGGTTAATACAAATATAAGAACCCTGATAATGAACGTATACCAATATAATGAAGTAATGAAACCTCCTCACCTCCTCTCTCTCTCCTCGTCTCCTTCAGTCCTACATGGAGGATCACTTGAAGAACAAGGACCGCCTGGAGAAGGAGTGGGAGGCGCTATGTGCCTATCAGGCGGAACCCAACGCCTGCACCATCGGCCTGAAGGATGGCAACGGAAAGAAGAACCGCTCCACTGCTGTAGTGGCATGTAAGTAATGACCTCTCTCTATGATTCTATCAAACCTTTATGGTGGTGAGTGGGTGAGCCTTAGCATTTGGATAGTAATCATCAATACTTAATTAGTTACTATTTCAATATCTACTATTGCTACATCCTCTGCCTGCTGTGTTAGACCTGAAGACGTGATTTTAGGGTCTAGAAATCATCATAAGACATGAGCATCTCCAGCTCCAAATCCAAATGAGTCTAGTCTACAGATTTCTCTTACTAGAGCCATCATCAGATCGTCTTTAGATTATAAGATAGATAACACCCCTATCTTCAAGACCCATCTCTTCTGAGAGCACCTCCTCTCCTAACACTTCCAACACCCTAACATGCCTCACCAGCCTCTACTACACACTTTTTTAATTTAGTTATCCGATAGGAAATTGCTAAAACACATGTTCTGCATTTCAATTGTTGCCCAAACATTAAGCTTTACATAAAGGTAACAAAACTCAATGTGGGCAATTGAAAATTGGGAAATGTGGTGTTCAATGAACAGTGTTGTAACCTTTAATGAGGTTCCTGTTGAGACTGTAGCTATAAAGTTCAGTATATAATGTACAGGAACTTTTCCTTTATTTAACCTGTACTCTTTGTCTTAATTTGTTGTTATTAACATGTTTAAAACAAAAGAGCACCACATTTAGCAGGATAACGGTCAGAGATATGTAAAGGAAAGACGGCATCATATTAAAGCATTTCACCAAAAGTTAAACCTCCAGTCCTTCAAACACAGTGGCATTACTCCCACCACCCCTCGACAACACTCCCCGTATACTCTGAGCCCAGCCACTATTATCAGAAAGCAGGGGCAGATGCAGCGAGCAGAAGGGTTGTAAATTAGTTTTCTATTAAAGCTCTCCTGCACCGACCTCATCAATGATTAAAATTTCTAAGCTTCTGTGGAAATAGCCCATCCAAAAAAGTGCTGTCCCATTCTCTCCACCGGGCCAGGGCTTAATGAAATCCAGGTTGTCAGCAGGGAAAGCAGTTTGTCAGGAATAAATTGTGCTTCCTATTTGAAGCACCACTGGCTCCTCCAAAAAAGATTTTCAGGACTGTTTTGCCACTATTACTGCAGGCTTGAGAGGGCAGCTCGCAAGAGTGAAAAGTATAAACTAGGGTAAGTTTTGCTCCCAAAAATTTCAGTGCACTAGTGGTGATGGAGGGCAGATCTCCTCGGAGCTGAGAGACCAGATTTACCAGCAGCAGTGAACACAACAGCTGCACATTTTTCCAAAAGCATAACACTTTCAATGAAATCCTGTCAATTTGATTTAAGGCACAGTGTGTAACTTCTGCTGCTAGGGGTCTCTCAATCAAAACACTAGTGTAACAAAAGACAGCACTGGGTGATGCTGTGAAGTAGCATGGGATCATGGGAGTCTTCACCACCATTGCTGCAAGCTTCTCCCGGTTTGGATTCCTTCTGTGTCAGTGGTTTAGGAGATTTTTACTGGCAGGTGAATTATCCACAGAGGTGTTCTCCTCTCCAAAACAGACTCGGTGATTATAACCGTCAAGAGCACTGAATAAAGCAGCTTTACATTTCAAGTGTTCCGCCGATGCTGTACAATGGACACAGGATGTCAGGGAAGGGAAGCTGAGACTGCAGCTAACCTTTGTTTCTCTGATAACTTATGAAGAAGACGTTCAGATGGTTTTTATCGGCAGCTGAATTATCCTCAGAAGTGTCCTCCTCTCCATAACAAACGGACAAGGGGATTAAAACAGTTTCACTTTAAAAATGAGTGATACACTGACGCAGTTCAGCGGACACAGGATGTGTAGGAGCGGCTGGAAGCTGAGCTGTCTAACATTTACGCAGCTTTTTTCTCTGATAACTTAAGATCTAGACGTCCGATGACATTCAGTTCTTCATCTGGTTAAAATATATATTTGAAAACAACCGAGGTGTTAAACCTTAAAACTTAAAACTGGATAAAAGTCAATTTTGAGCTTCTGGCAGACAACCACAATGCCGGCACATGCACATAGGGGACATGATGTAATTGACAGGCAACCAAATGACACGTACCATTACCATGATTAAAATCACATATTTCTCTGGTTTGAGAATTGATGGAAATATCTGGGATAATGTAAGAACACTACTCAACAAAATATATAGAACGTATTTCCAGTCATTTTTAGACATTTTGCTGGGAAAAGTTACAAATTCTAACTTTAAAGCTTGGAAAGAGAAGAGTTTGTATAGATTGACCTAGCAGTGCGCACAGAGATTCAAAAGATAACCTTTATGACCGTGAGGGGTTGTGTGAAGCTGTTGGAGGTGCCTTCCAGACAGTGAAAGGCAGGGATCACTTGATCAAATCTCTGAGGAAAATCAAAGAACATCAAAAAAAAGTTCCCCTGGTGGTTTTCAATCTCTGAATTGAAGCTAGTTCTATTCTGAGCTGAAAACACCTTGACGAACTGGGAGAATAAACTCTTTAGGTCATAGAAACATTCTTACTTAGTTGCTTGTGGAAATGTGCATCAAGGCTACAGTGAGAGTCCTGTATCCTCGACATATCTGAAGAGAAACTTCTTATTACAGTGCATTACAACATGGCAAGTGAGCACCTGCGTTCCTCAGACAAAATGTACTGAATTCCTCTGTTTGTGTTCCAGACGATCACTCCAGAATCACCTTGAAGGTGGAGAACAGCCAAGGCAACTCTGATTACATCAACGCCAGCCCGATTGTAAGTACCTCCTCTGCATTCTCACTCTGTGCTTCACAACCGCTACTATGCAGGGCTCCCACAGTCCCCACGGGGCGTCACAGGAACAAAGGCAGCCTACCGTTGTACAATATAAATTTCGATGCAACGCTTGCTTAGCTTCAGCAGCAGCAGCAGCAGCCCCACGCTGGTGTGCATGTTCTGCACCATGAATATTAATGGTTGTTACACAGAAAACACCCCAGGTGAGTGTTAGCTCGCTCGGGGAATGAGCGGGAGAGGACATGCGCATGGCTCTCGGCTCACTTCTCATTTGTGAAAAAAAAAAAAAAAAAAAGATCTGTGGGGTCTTGGGAAATGATTGTTTTTGACCTTGGGTTATGCTAATGTGACACTAGTTTGTGTTTACCGTTACGATGCGCCCGACTTGCCGAGGCCCTTTTCTTTGGCTCGGTGCAGATTTAAGCAGCAAAACAGCCCAAAGGAAGGAGGAAGGGGGAAGAAAGAACCATGTGAATTCAGTGAGTGAATGTATCAATTTGGAAACCAGTGTTAGAATAGTAGGTTTACGTTTCCCTCGAGGCAGATACAGTGGTATTCCATTAAAAGCAACAGAAACGCTATGCATTTCAAATCTGGGCGTCACACCAAGAAGTGGCTGTGTGTGTGTGTGTGTGTGTGTGTGTGTGTGTGTGTGTGTGTGTGTGTGTGTGTGTGTGTGTGTGTGTGTGTGTGTGTGTGAAGGAGAGAAGGAATCAAAAGTATACAGAAACAAAAGAGCAACCTTGTCAAATACCACAAACACACAAATGCAAAAACAGCTGCACACACACACATGCACAAAGAAACACACACATATTTAAGGCAAACACACACACACACACACACACACACACACATGGATGACACAGAACATACAGTGCAAACACCCACACAGACATGCAAAAGCACACACTCGAACATTTCACTTTCCCCGCCTCCCCTCCCACTCTCAAACGTATTAAAGAATGAATGTATGTGGATGCACGACACACACACATACGCACACACACACACACACACACACACTGAGGTTATCTAAAGAACCTCCTCTGCTGACATTTTGATTTCCCCTCACCGCCCTCACCTTCCCCACTGTCACACTTGTTAGTTCTCCCAACCTCCATTCATTGACCTAAAGCCTGAATGTTATTGAGCTTTCTTTAGATTTTCCTGATAGTTATGCAAAGATAGATGTTTTTTGTCCAAAATAAAAAGGATTTAAGTAATAGAATATCAGTGAGAGCGGCTGTTTATAAAAGAATACAGCTCATAAGCAAGTGTCCAGTCCAACATGGCGGCAGTCTGCTGAGTTCTGCAGATAGACTAGACCTTGGCAGTAACATGACTTTGACCCCTCCCTAGTTTATGCCACGGTTTTGGTCTGATGTTCACAGACCTTTTACTTTCACACTGTCCTTTTCAAAACAGGATTTTTTTTTTCATGCACTGTAACAAACAACACAATGTCCTTTCCTTGCACTGCAGAGGATACACCACGTGACTGGTTGCAGTCTCCTGTGAGTTGCTGCAAGTCAGTTCTCTTCCTTAGACCTCAGTCAGGTGCTGCCAATATCCCAGTGGGTGGGTGATTTATAGTTTGCTGTCGACACAGATACAGTAAGGTTGAGCAAAGCAAGGATCACTTCGCTACTGTTTGACTGAGGCCTTGAAGGCAGTACAGCTGGGTAAGAAAAAATTAAAATGAATCACTGGATGATTTATGTTAATCAACCAGATGTTGTTTTCGGTTCTAGCTCAAGTAAGGGTAACATGGATTTGTTAAATTACAGAATTAAAACCTTGCAAAGCCGCACTAGATGTTACTTGCTCTGTTTCCCCATTAAGTATTTATCTGGAAAGCACCCACTGAGATTAAACTGGGACCAGCAGCTGGAGTCTGGACCAACCAGCCAGCTGTGGATGGTGTTTTATGTGTTTATCGTGTTGCGTGAGGTATTAGCCTCAACCCCCAAGTTGTCCAAGGATTGTTCATAGCTGGAACCTGCCAGAAGTTGAAGTCCTCACAGACTTCTCACTGCGATTTTAGTAAAGACAGTAAATAAGGACGCTGGAGGACGGCTGCATTTTGAATTTGAAGTGGATGAAACAAAGCTGGAGCTAAAATGAGGCTTGGTATGGGGATGTGAAAAAGTAAAGTGGAAAGAAAAGTCAAATAAGTAAAATGAATAAATGAATATATTAAAAAGAGACCGTCACTGTGAGCACAAAATGAAAAGACACATCTGAAAACTTGTACAAGTTGTTTTATTTCCTAATATACAGATTCACAGTTACAGCTAATTCATGTAGCTGCCAGCTAGCAGTTTTACCAGTGCCAGTCTGTCAACACACACACACACACACACACACACAAAATCACCACACAGACATGCATACACGCCGTCACCTTCACCCCCACTGAGGTGTCAGACTGTAGTAACAGTTGGCTCCATCATGAAACTTCATCAGACACACACACACACACACACACACAGTTTGAGTCCCTCCTTCTTTCCAAAGAAAAGACAAAAAAACAATAACTGATAATTACACTTGTCACATCCTTCAATTTTTGTTCCTCATTAAGAAGGAGTGTGTGTGAGATGGAAAAAGATACACACACACACACACACACACACACACATTTGAAGTGTCATTAGAGTTAAATTCTGATACTTTGAGATGTCAGGAAGTGTTGTGTGTCAGCAGAGACTAAAAAGGAGACAAATGAGATAAAAAGAGATGTCAAGTGTGCAGAGTCCTCCTGGTCCTTCTGTCTGTCTTTTATTCTTTCCGTGGTCTCTCTTCTCTCCTCCTTCATCTGTCTCCAGCTTTTTACTCTACCATCCTTCTAACCTTTTATTTTCTCACTCTCTTTCTTGTCATTCTTGATTTCTGCATGTCAATTTCTTTCTCCTTCTCTGTCCCTCATGGACTTTTCTTTCTGTTCTCTTCTGAGGAACCTAAAAACTGATTTTTCAGCACTGTACAACCTTGTTAAAAAAGAAAGAAAGAAATGTGTCCTTGGTAGCATGAAAAAAAAAACACCGAAAAGCCTGGATTTCATTTACTATGTCCAATACATGGCCACAAAAACATGGACACTGGTACTTTACACCCACATGAGTGGCTGCAGGGATTTGCTCCCATTCAGCCTCAACGCTGATGTTGGGTGATGAGGTCTGGATCACTGCTGGTAGTCCAGTTCATCCTAAAGCTGTTGGATTGGGTTGGGATCGGTATTGAAACCCATTAAAAAAGGCCCCAGGCCAAAGGAAACATACTGTATGTAGACAGGGGTGTCCACATACTTTTGGCTATACTGAAGTGTTTGTAGGTGCAGCCCTCTCTCACCTCACCTCCAGAAGTCTTTAAAAGCATACTTCTGCCTCCAGCTATTTTTTTTCCCCCCATGATGCAGTTCCAGCTGTGGATGTTTTAATAAGGCACCATGTCACCTTTTCTCTCTCTTAGTTCCTACATGTTAAGTTCATTAGAGGTGCATTATTGTTTGGCATTCATAAAGGGAACACAGGACCATTAAAGACAATTTTGCTTGCGGAAAAGCTCCAGAAATTATCTGTCTTCCCTCTGTAATTGCTTCCAGCTAAATTGGTCTTGCCAATTATCACATTTACCGTACAATTTGCATGGTAATAGGCGGGGGCGTCACTCACTTCCTCGCAAATTCACCTCACGTTTGTGTCCCGTCTTTTGCTCTCGACGCCTTCGCCATCCTTCTGTAATTTCCATTAAGTTAAGGAGGAAGTCTAATTTACTGAAAACTCTCACCTCCTTCCCAGAGAAGCTTCCAGCTGTGAATACAAGCACCGCAAAACATGGTATAAATTATTAACTTATAGGGAAGATACTAAATCAGCAGAAAGGGCTGGTGGAGAGACGTCCTCCTGTCTGTGAGGCAGCTCAGATGTGACAAAATAAATGTGTTTATCTCCAGTGTCAAGCAAGATATCCTCTCTGTCTCTACTCACTGAAAATTGATTAAATGTAAATAGATTTTTTTTACATGGAGAACGAAACAGAGGGGGAATAGTTTGAGCTCATGTAGGAGAATGTAGCGGTTTTGTAAACTGACTTGGAAGAATGTGGCGAGGTGGTACAGACATGTTTGTTGGATACTGTACATCATGGTGCTGCGAGGTTTATAACAGGCCTCACCACTGTACCACTGTAGGCTGAGGTGACCCGGTCCTCCCTGACCACTCGTTGGAAGACTTTCCTTTAGGAGGTTATCATTGGTTTGTTGATCCTCTCGCTTAAGTTTTTCACAAACTCATATGGAAAAAAGAGCACATTCTTTAAAATGTTGCCTTACTTCTCTTAACTTTCCCGAAGTTGAATTCATTTAAAATTTGATATTGTTACGGCAACAGTTTGTTGTTGTTCTCACCTTATATTCAAGTGAAGTCTTTGATCCTGTAGAACAGAGGTCACAAAGGCAAGGCAACTTTATTTGTATAGCACATTATCCTACACAGAAGTCATTCAGTGACTTCACAGAAATAAAAGAAACACTTGAAAAATGAGTAAAAAACAGGATACGAACACAGAAGGCGGACCGCAGTTCAGATATGGACCCAGACACAGTCCTAGCCGAACCTGGACCTATAACCTATAAATTACTGAGAATAATTAAATGTTGACGCCGTGTTTGTATTTTAACCAGCGCAGCTTGTCTAGCCCTTACGTCACTGGTCACGTGACACTATTCAGCCAATCATTGTGACTCGAGTCAATGAGTGAGATACACACACACATTGGAGAGAAGAGATGAGAGACAATACTTATAATAATAGAAATAAGAGGGAAAAGTGGGATATGAGAGGGACAGGAAGGAATGAACGGATGTGTTAAAGCTGTACAATTGTTAATATGTGTTGAGATTTCTGAAAAGCAAATGAGAAAAGAACAAGAAAGAACAAGAACATATAATTATTGTGTTTGTGTGTGTGTGTGTGTGTGTGTGTGTGTGTGTGTGTGTGTGTCCCGGACCAACACCAACATCCTGGTCCTCTGCTTGAGGAGTAAACACCGCTGCTGTATAATGATTTAACTGCATGACAGTTGGAAGTCGTAACTTACTGTTACCTATCTTGGTTTTGTTGTGTGTTGCATTTTCTATTATGCTGTTAATTATTTGCAAACTTTGCTGCCAGGACATGAATCATGTAAGAAGGAGATTACATCATCTCTCCTCCCTCTGCTCCTCAGATGGATCACGATCCCAGGAACCCAGCCTACATTGCCACTCAAGGCCCTCTGCCCTCTACAGTGGCTGACTTCTGGCAGGTAAAAACACACACACACACACACACACACAAACACACACGTACACACACACACACAAAACAAAATCAATACATTCTCGTCTTTAAAACAAGAGTTTGTATTAGTGCAGTGACCCACACGGGGGACCAGCCTGTTCTGTGGCTGTCGCTGTTAATCTCTCTTTCACCATCATGCTCACTTCCCACCGCAACTGCACACACACACACACACACACACACACATTGTTAATGCAGGAGACAGCAAACACTGTTCCGACTGTCCCAAATATAAGATTGGATTTGAATCCGAGACCAGGAGATCGATACGTTATTCTTGCCGGTCTTGGTGTATATCTATGTGTGTGTGTGTCTGTGTGTGTGTATGTGTGTGTGTCGAGCAGAGCAGTGTGTGTGTGTGTGTGTGTGTGTGTGTGTGTGTGTGTGTCGAGCAGAGCTGTGTGTGTGTGTGTTGGGTGTGTAGGAAGGAAAGGTCTCCTTGTCAAACAGCTCCTTGTCCCTGCTGCATTCCTGCTAGTGCAGAATGAAAAGAGAGAAAGCGCCTGCTCCTCTCCTCCTGTTACTGCTACTCAACCTGAGTGAAGTATCAAAGACAGCTCATTTAAAACCTGCCAACAGTTTCTCATAAATTATCTTATTTTACATCCTTTCCAGGGTTGCCACAGAATCCAAACTTCTTCTTTGAACTGATGGAAGTCATATTACTCACATACCCTTACCCTACCACCTACCCCACACCTCAGCCATATCCCAGACCAGTCTGCCCACTGAACAGAGCCCAGACTCATATCCTCCATTAACCTCCCCCAGTGAGACAGCGAACAAGCCGACCCTCAGATGTCAGGGCAATAGATCAGTAATTGTAATGTAATTACTGAATTTCAAATTGTAATCCCTTACACTTGTTGCTGACAAAAAGTAATCACATTACTGTAAAATGTTTTTAAATAATGCATTGATTAGAGTCGTTATAATTAAAGGTTAAGTGAAATGAAATTTAAGTTGTAAGTAAGATGTAAGTTTCAAAACGTCCATGATGAGCAGGAGCTGACAGAAAACCAAACGGAACTTTTAGCGGAAGTAAAACTTACTGCTCATGTGATTATAAATACACAAGTTGCTGTGGTGATGAATGAAGCTGAAATTGGTTTTGGTAATGTGATTGTGAAGAATGGGTGGTGGTGGTGGTGGTGGAGCAGTGGGCTGGTGGTCTCCTCTGGAGGAAGAGAAAATGAACTTTAACCCCATTAAACCACAACTCCCCTCCCCCTTTTCCTCCTCCTCCTTTCACCACTAATCCCTCTCCATCTGTGGACATTACTCCTCCTTTAGGAAAGAGAAAGGGTGGATGTGTGGTTCTGTGTGTTGATGGTGTGTAACTTGTGGACAGTTTATTTCCCAATGAACCGTCTTCATCCTGCTCAGACTTTTCTTTCCCCCCTCTCCTTCTCTTCCTCCTCCCTCCACTCTTGTTGTCCTCCTATTTTTCTCTGTAATTTTTCCACCATTACTCTCTCCTCCTCCACCTCCTCGTGATGAGTACATCCTCATGCTCACAGCTGAGAAGATCATTTAAAGATCTTGTCTAAACACCTCATAGTCAGACTTCAGCAGTGCTACGTAAAGCAGTTCAGTTCTTGACTATCTTAAGCCGAACTGTTGTACAGTGAATTCTGGGCAAATTAAGACTGTTTTTTCAAAATAAAGAAAATGGCCGACTGAGGAACAGCATCCAACCACTGAACTACATTCTCCCCAGAAGAAAATATTTGTCTTTTGAAAAAATTCAACAGTTACAGGACATTTTTCTTGAAGAGTGTAACAATAAAAAACAGTGGGGATAAGGTGTCTAATTTCTTAGTCTTAAAATGAGTCAGTCTTGCACTCATCAGAGTTGCATCACCAATCTGTGAGCAGAACTAAGACTGGCCTCACACTACAGACCAGTCTGAAACTGCTGCTCATCAGGGATTCAGCTCAGATCCATGACGTGGCTTCTCTGTGCTCAGGGTTTTAACCAGTCTTCTTGCTGTCTTGTAGCCCAGAGACTTAACCAGCATTACTGTGTCTTATCAGGCCTCTTAATCAGGAGCTGCCAAGGTTATTACACCATATATATCGCATTACACAACATCGTCCCCATCGGGATTCTGCTGAGGTGTCCTTGGGCAAAGTACCGAAGGCACATGCTCCACACATGTCCAGAAGTTAAAACATGGATCTGTGTGATGAGCAGCAGTGCAGTACTAGAAAAGAGCACGGTGTGCAGTTCACATTTTCCTGGATAAATAAGGTTTTAAATAAAATTAGCATTTTAACAAACCTGAAGTTTTATAAGGAGGAAATTGTCGCCCCAGCACTGGTGGAGTTCTCACGCCGTCAGCTAAAGCGAATTAACACCATTTCTCAAAAAAGTGCACAGTCACATCTTTAGATGCATGAGACCAATCAGTGAAGCAGTGGGGGCTGAGAGGAACAGTAATTCAACACCCACCGCAATTAAAGTCAGTTAAATCTTCGTCAAGGTGCGGCAGCACTCCTGACTGAACGGCAGGTGTAGCTGTCTTGATTATCTAACACGATGATGTGGGAGCAGTATTGTTTTATGGCTTCCATTAACGGCTGACTGTTACCTCTGATCAGAGCCGAATGGATCTCCAGAGCCGGCCCACCCTCCGGCTGTGAGGATATGACTGCCAGCAGGAAAAATACGAGCGCACGCCCGGCCTCGCCGTGGAATGACCCAGCTGGGGGAGGGAACAGCCCTGACAGCCATTACTTTTCATGCCACAACGCATGACTTGCTTGTAGTTTCTCACCAAAGTTTGAAGCACGGCAAACATGTCCTCAAGTGTTTGGTTTCAAACTTCGATTTCATTTTGCCTCCCACCCCCAAAACAGACACATCTACCCTCCCAAAATGCCAGATAGCACAAAATTTAAAGTAATTATGGCCCAAAAATCCAAGCGAGTGGGTGAGTGAGGACGCATGTCACTGTTCCTGTTGGCAGATTATGGGAAGTGTTGACAGCTTTGTATGAGATCTGGTTCCAAATCTAGCTCCCCACGTGACTCCTACTCTCAGGAAATGGCTGAGTGCTTGACATTTTAACAAACTTCGAAAGTTTTTAAAGAACATTAAGCAACATAAATCACCGACTGGAAAACACATCATCTGTACTTGCATGGCAGACCTTTTAAAAATGTATAAACTTATACTGTCAGAGATAGCAGACAGAGCTTTGTTAGATTACTGGTGTAGAGATAAACAAAGTCACTGAGGCTCCGCTGTTTAGCATCTAGTGGAAGCTAAAATAAAACATACCACATTTTCATTAAAGAAACAGTTTACTCTTCACAAACATAAACCTCCCAGATTTCAGAAGGAAGAGGTCTTCAAAGAGGCGGTTTGAGATGGTGATGCTGCTTCAGCGAGCCATTCACCTGCCGCAGAGACGTGTCTTACCGAGCGCGTGATTTGTTTGCAGATGGTCTGGGAGAACGGCTGCGTGGTCATCGTCATGCTGACGCCTCTCGTCGAGAGCGGGGTGAAGCAGTGCTACCATTACTGGCCCGATGAGGGATCCAACCTGTACCACATCTACGAGGTAAATTATCTCAGCATGAACAGAACTGACTGTGTAGGGGGTGAGGCACTTTGATTGTCTTTGGCATTTGTACGTTTTTAAGTTAAAAACATTAATATTTTGCTCCCTCTTGCTTTTTTGAAAAGGGTTTAGGCATTTTTGGGGAAATCTGATTGGCTGTCATTGATTGAATTGGTTTAACTCCCCATATATGTGATGATTTGTCAGTTCTATTCCCATTCAACATTTGGCTCTAACTTTGAAGAATAATAGTTATATGAGCTGGACTTCATCACTGTGAACCAGTGAAATAAAGTTTTTAAAGCTCAAAATAGAATTTAAGGTAAACACAAGAAACTTGTGCTACAAGTTTAAAGCTCAAAATAGAGAGAAATAGAGATAATTTATCCCAAAAGATTTCCACCCCTTAACAAGGCATCTAGTATTAAAGCTTTGTCCCAAAACTTACCTCAGTCAGTCTTGTCTTTGCTTAGACCAGTAGATTGTGATAAGTTGATTTTACCTTTCTCTCCTTTTACTTGATTGCTGGCAATGAATCGTTCATGTCCAGAGTTTGGTGTAAGGCGATTTCATCACTAAACCTAGTATTGTACACGTTGCATACGTGCTATCTGTAGGTCAACTTGGTGTCCGAACACATCTGGTGCGACGACTTCCTGGTTCGTAGCTTCTACCTGAAGAACATGCAGACCAACGAGACGCGGACCGTCACTCAGTTCCACTTTCTGACCTGGCTCAACCAGAACGTCCCGGAGACCAGCCGGACGCTACTCGACTTCCGCAGGTAGGGAGCTTCTTCAGAAACTTCGGACATACTTTAAATCAGAGTGGTCCTTTTGACTGCTTTCGTAAATCCACTGCTGGCTTGAGCTGCTGGCTTACAACCACGGGATGTGTTGCAACAAGGAAGTGATCCCTCACTGGCTTCCCACTACATATATTGCCAATTATATTCAAAGGCGGAGATGCCACCTTTAGTTATTTATCCTTGACCTTTACATTATGGGCAAATGTGCATGACTGGGAAAATGCTCATGCACCTCGACAGTCTTGTTTTCAACATAGTAATAAAGACATTTTTAAGCATTTTATTTAAAGAGTTTCTTGGAACTCTGGTTTTATTTGAAGAACAAAAAGTACATAAGCCTGCTTTTAATGTAGATAGCAAAAGCGCTGAGGTTTAAGAAGGTCTTAAAGAAACTTTTGGAAGTCTTTAGAGAAAAACACTTTGATCCATAGCAGAACTGAAGAACACCACTTTGTGTGATGTCTTCAAGAAAAGTCTCTATGGTCGATTTCTCAAAGGGCTGGTTGTATGTAGCTTTGTCTTTTTTTTGGGTGAACAAAGCCAGCTTACCTTTGTAAAAGAAGTCCTGTAGAATGACATAAGAAGAGGCCCAAGTTTTGTGTAATTGTAGCTGAAAATGTACTTTGCTATCTGTGCCAGGGAGTTTTTAGAAGCTGGATACTTTGCATTGTTCGATACCACTAAGGTACGTCGGCTTTGCATATTCTACAAATCAACTTTGCCATCTTACACAAGCTACATGTCTGGAAGAAAAGTGGGACATCGAAAACTGGAATAGAAGCTACCGGAAAAATGTAAATTGCAACCTTACAAAACACGTCCTTAAATACAACGCAGCCATTGTTGTCATCAGCTTTTTATGCCTTTTTAAGGTGTTGGAGTTGAAAGACTGACAATAGTTATTGATAGTTAAATAGTGATTGACACTCTTCTTAAGGACATTTCTGTTTTTATTGGAAACAAAAAGATAGTGAAGGACATTATATAGAAGGTTTTGGACTTTTGTTTGTTCCTCCCTTAAACCACAAAGGCTTTGGGCAGCTTTTGTGACTCGCTCACAGGATAATAACTTCAAACCTCTCACTTCTCCAGGAGTTTAAACTCGTGACCCTTAGACACAGGCAGAAAAAATATCTGTATATCCTCAAACATCCTGGGCATTTTCCAGTCGATAAGAGTGTAATTGAGGATGCATTGAGGGAACTCTGCCGGAGCGATCCTTTATCTCTGGCGCCTTTATAGCCGCTCCCCTCCTTCTCCTCTCCGACCTCTTTTAAACTGATATACTGTATTGCCTATTAGGTGGGAGCTGCCCTGGCCCCTTTTTCTCTGATTCACTGTGGATTTTCTCAAGCGATAGACCCCAACCTGGTTTTATATATAGGCCCGGTGTCGCCACGTCGCTGGCGCACATCAATTAGGTGAGATATCAAGAGTGAGGGTTTGTGGTCACAGCTATTATAAAAGGGTCTGGTGGGCGTCACCACCCACCATCAGTTAGGAAATATTGCCTTTACTCACAGGGTGTCAGGGTCAGAGCACAATGAAGAAAACGCACAGGGAGATATTTTTCACTTTTATTACCGCGGATGTGGGACTTTCAACCCTGCCATTTTTTTCTGGTGCTTCCTTCTTTTCCACTTCGATGGTTTCAGGATGGCAGCTGAAACATCTCTCCTTCCTTTGTGCTCGTGCCGGCATGTTTTTTTTTTTTTGTTTTTTTTTTAACTTCACTCACAACTGACTGAGCCGAAGCATCGCTTACAAATCCTCTCTGTACTCCCCCCCCCCCCCGTTTTTACCAGCTAACTAGCGGTTGCCAGTGTCATTTTTGTGATGTTGCAGCTAGTAATATAAGCCCAGTTGCATAGTCACAAAAGTGATCATTGGAGACTGTGACTCTGCAACCAAGGGGCCTCACGGACCCCCCCTCCCTACCCTTTTACTCCTCTTTTATTCCCCTCTTCTCCTCCCCTTCTTTTGCCCTCCTTCATCTCTCTCCTCTTTCTCTCTCCTCGCTGTGCCCGATGACCTGAGGTGACCTCTTGCCTTTTTGCTTGCTCATGGTTTGCTTGACTGCCTCCGATCTCCTCCCACCTCCTCCCCTATCTCTCCCACCATGCCTCCCTTCCTCTCTTGGTCGCTTTTGTCTTTTTCTCTCCCACCCTCTATCTGTCGCTTCCTCTTCCTCATACCCTCCTCTCTGCTTCTTTGTCTCACTTGATGATTTCTGACTTGTGGTCTGAGAATACGTCCACACTAAGAAAAGAGATCTTCTCCTCTTTGATTTGGCTAAGCGGTTGTTTTTGGCTGCTGACGATCTAGTCTGTCACCAGAATGGATAAATCTGATGCGGTGGTCTTATGTGGTGCACAAGGTAAACAGAGGTCAGACATGGTGGAGAATGTGTGGCAGTCAAGTTAAGAAAGCAACACTCACATTCACAACATACATACACAACTGTCCTTACTGTCACTGAAAGTTAACTGGAGTGTGAACTTCCACAGGGGTTTTTGTTTAGTGATTTTTTGTTTAATTTTATTTATATAAAGTATATATATAATTTTATTGATTTTTTTAAAATTTCATTTTATTTTTATTTTTTTATTTCTACATTTCAAACAATTTTTTATTTTTTTATTTTTTTATTTTTTTGTATTTTTTTTGTATTTTAAATGTCAATATAACCAGTCACACAATACAGTTTTCCCTATTTTACACGACTTCACGATCATAAAATGGTGATTTGTTCAGTGTCCAGTTCAGGAATAAAGTGCAACACACACCGGTGCCTTTTGACAAAACACCTGCACCCATTGTTTTCTATGGCGTCTTGATGCACGCCGATCCACAATGACTCCACTTTCCGATTTGTTAATTGTCTTGGACAGGACTCTCACACATTCTCTTCACAGTTCATTGTCAAATAGTAGACAACTATACCTTCGCTCCTTCTGTCCCTATGATGGGTTTGTTGTGAAATACAGGTGTCAAATGGCTCTCTGCGACACAACTGGTGTGTGTTGCACTTCACTTTTCCCACAATCAGATCACTGTTTTGTGCTTTTTCAGCCGCCTGATGACAGAAACAGAACAGTGTTGGTGATGATGTAGACTTGCATACAGACTGGAAATGGAGGCAGCGTCATGTTTCATGAATGATTCGCAGATACATTTTCCAGCTGTCCAGGGTTCTCATATGTGCATGCATGGGTTGCATGTGTTGGGTTTGTTTTGGTCTCATTTAAAGAGAAATTGATCCCATGTTGCAGATTTGTTGGCTGAGATGCTGAAGGGTGATGAAGACGAGGACATTTACCTACTGACTGTAGATTTCAGGGTGGATGGGGACTGAACCTGAAAACACACATATATAGTGATTTAAAAATGATCTTTCTTCGTCGTGGACGTATTCTGAGTCTCTCTCCATCAGTTTATCTTCTCCTCTCTCTGTACCTCCCTCCTCTCATTCTCTCCACCTCTCTGTCTTCATCTCTCCCTTCCTCTCTTTTGTCTCTCTCTGACTCCTGATCCATCTCTCTCTCTCTCTCTCTCTCTCTCTCTCTCTCTTACGGGGCGTTTTCTTTGAATCCCACACCCCTCTATACAACACCCCCCACCCCCACCCCCACCCAACCCACCAACCCCTCCTGTTGGTGATCCTCTGCCAGTTGTTTCCATGGTAACATCACTTTTGATTGTCTGCAGTGAGCTCTGACTTTTCAGTTTTGGTCGGGGTGGAGGAGGAACCACCCCCACCCCCACCCAACCCACCAACCCCTCCTGTTGGTGATCCTCTGCCAGTTGTTTCCATGGTAACATCACTTTTGATTGTCTGCAGTGAGCTCTGACTTTTCAGTTTTGGTCGGGGTGGAGGAGGAAAACATGAGGGGCTTTTACTGCCTTCAGGTTCTGTGTGTTTACAAGACTCTTCAGATAGGAAACCCCATTTAAACTGTGTGATGCTGTTCCAGAAATTAATTTAACACTAAAACATTTCCTCCAAGAAAATCCTTAAAAACATCAACAGCAGTTCTCTGCTCTCTTTTTGGCCAATGGTTGACGATTATATTATTCTGTTTCATGTGTGTTATATATCAGAACTTGAGGAATCATGAAAAGCAAGATCCTTCTCTTTGTTATTTGTAATTATGATAATAGAAAAAGTTGAATCTGTTTAATCAGCATCTGGACCTGTTCTTGAGTTGAATCAAAATGCACATGCACAAATGCACAAAATGCTAAAATGTTCAAAGCCTCTTTAAGAAATCTATAACAAAAAGACGTCCTGCTACACAGTAAAAAAAAATTTCATTTTCTACTCTGTGTCTGGCCTGACTTTCCACTAAATCCCACTGAAATACGCAACGTTTTTGAGGTGTCTTGTGAACTAACAAACAAGAAAGATGGCCAAAATCATGAGCACCTTGGCAAAGGTAAAATATTCAATTTCCAAAGAAGTTTTGAAATGTGGGAAAGCTGTTTACGATGAGGATTTCAGGAGGTTTTAAGAACCCAAAGGTCATGAAATTCACTCTGAAAATAATTGACCCAGGAAACTTTAAAAACAAAGAAGCTTCAACTCTGCAGGTCTGAGGTTTCTTTCATTAACTGAATAATGCATTGTGGATCTCACACACACACACACACACACACACACACTCACCATGTCTTTACATAATATGTTCCTGCTGAATATTGTTATTTAGAGTCGTCACCATGAAATAGAATCTCCAGCTGGGATCAGACTCACGGCTCACTGCTTCTTGCTGAGATAGAAGCTGCGTGTTTGTATAGATCCACTGGCTGCTCTGCATTTTGATGAATAAGGTGTGAAGTTTCCACCACTATTTTTTGTGGGATGTGGTTTTCAACACACAGTTGGACTTTTTTTATGCATGTATGGAAGCAGCGCAAAATATATATTCCTATGTTGTAGAATATTATGCACACGTGACGATTTCCATTCTCCAAATAAAAGTTTCCGTGGACCGAGGAAGAAAGAAAATAAGTATCTTTTCTTTATTTCAGGGTACTGATGGAAGAACAATGTTTCCACCAATGAAGGATGTGTGTAGATCTTAAATGTGTTATGTGGGTGGAAGTGACATTTTAATAAATAATTGTGAGCTACTGAGAAATCTGTTGGACTATATTTCAGCTCCAAACAGGAAGTGGGTGTTGTTCTTCCAGATCAGATTATTCTAAACCTTCCAACATTTTTGTTTGAAGAGAACAGCAGCATGTCGATGGTTAATCATTATAAACGGAGTGTACCTTTAACATGTTGTACATTGTGTGGAAAGTAACAGATCTGTTTGATCCAAATCTAGTCTAGTGCTGAAAAAAATGTCCAGAGCTCATCCACCGTGTTCGGTTGTTGTCTTTGTTCATAGACTTGTTCGTAGCACCACTCAACTGTGGAATCATCAGATTTGTTTCAGTCTTCTCAGAGCATCAGTTCCAGGACACAAAAGTTTTAAGTTTGGCCAAACAGCCACTAGAAAGTAAATCAATTATGAAATTGAAATATTGAAATTTTTAGATATCTTTTCTTTCTCTTTAATTATTGGCTTAGTTTCTTGTTCAGTTTGATTCTGTTTATTCATCAGAAGTTGTTGCAACTTAAATTTTGTTTGACAAGAGAAGTTCAACTATTACTTGTGGTTCAATCACATCTTGCGTCATCAATTTTGTTGTCGGAGACAGTGACTTGGATCTTTTAAATCTTGAATCACACTCATTCTGCCAAGTGCACATTGCACAATGGAAAAGTTATTACGCCTGTTTTTACTGACACATATCATGTTGAACTCATTGAAGTTAAGGTAAACTTATAATTACTTAGACATGTGGTAAGTGGTATGGGACAAATGGTACACTTAAGGCCATGATACGTGATGTTCAGTATCACGTTAACGTGAAAACGTGGAGATCACAAGCTCAGAAAATCATTTTGTGACCATGTTAAAGTTGTGCAACTATACTTGACTTGATGAGGATTCTGTGGATTCAACAGTACTGTGCATGTTGTACCATTGTTATTAAAGCTCAGGTACATTGTGTTCTGACTGTGTGTTGTTGCATGTGTGATGTCATGTTAACACTGATTTCTTCTGTCTGTTCTGTTTTTTTACAGGAAAGTTAACAAGTGCTACCGGGGACGCTCGTGTCCTATCATAGTCCACTGCAGGCAAGTAGAACAACAGCTAACAATGTTTATTTTTGTTTTTGTTTTTTTTATTATTTATTAATTTTTTGTTTTGACTGAGATCTGTTCCATAGTGCTTGTGATTTTTTAATGATGTTAATGAGCAAAAAAGCATATAAACAAATATACAGACACTTCTACTGGTAAAATTTTTGCTCCGATGATTTGAAGCTGTCATGGTATCTGTCCTCCTCCAGTCCACGCTGCTGTTTCATGTCTCACCAGCTCTCATCACTGGTCAGCATGTGGAGGATGACAAACATTTTAAATGAGAAATTAGCTGAAGAGTTGTGATTTAATGTGACAAACTGTCCGCGGAGGATGGTAACTTTTAATTGGAGGCACTTCAAAGTTTGCAATGTGACAGTCGGAGCCAGTGGGTGAGAGGGAGAGAGGGGTAAATAGAGGTAGGCAGTGATGCAGCTGTTGTATTTGCATTTATGTGTGTGTGTGTGTGTGTGTGGGTTTGTGTGTGTGTGATCACATCTGCATCTACCCCCACTACCTGAGGAAATAACTCAGACCAGTGAGACATAATTAAATCGGTATTTAACAGAAAAATCTGCCACAGTTTTTACAGAAACATCCTGCGATGATTGGATTAGAGAGAAGAAGAAAAAAACTTCCGTAACAGATTGCCGTTCTGTCTGTCTGCTCACTCCTCCACTAAGTGATCTATTATTTAATATGGTGTAATGGTTCTTCCAGGACGATGGGCCTTCATTTCTCAGCTAAATTGCCAGTCTGCAGCAGAGTATGAAACCTGTCTTTATGAAGCACCAGCCACAGCAGCTGGAAAATACCGACGTCCCCTAGTTACTTTTATAAATATAAGTAAATTTCATTTTTTAGAAATGTTAGTTTTCTGGTTTAGAGGTCATGTGAATACAACCATCACACATCCTGTTAATGTATATGAAGGTGTTGCAGTAAGTCTTCCAGCCTGCTCGGACATACAGGTCCTTTGTCCCTATACTCTGATACGACAGAGTGGAGCGCCTCCTGTTATTAGCGACTTAAAACAGCTTCGGTTGAAGTGACAGTTACAGCATGATGCCATGACATAGGTTTTATGTTGAAACTTCCTACCGTTGCAGCCCAACTGTCTACAACGAGAGAAAGACTAGTTTGCTGTACCCTGTGCTACATTAAGGAGTTAGCAGGTAATTGTCATATTTGACACTGTCATTTTGTTTATTTCAAATTATACCATTAGTAGGATTATGAGCATATTTGTTAAAGATACCAGCTAATTTGACTGATTTTTTCCAGTTTATTCATAGATATGTCAGCACAAACTGTTGTTAACCTCCGTCCTCCCTCTGCAGCCCACAGCCTGACTGTGCTGTGTACTGATGAAACCATGACGCTGTCCATGGTGCTGAAGTAACAGACAGATTTATACAAACTCCTCACTTGATAATAAATTGTCTCTGAAGCAAATATCAAGAGTTCTCTGGTCATTTCCAGAGACATATGTGTAGGTGTACCGGACCTTTGGAGGCATGGTTACAATGATAAACATGTGATTAATCTTGTGGACCAGTACAGTTTGGTTAGGTTTAGGCAGAAAAATTCTGGGATAGGTTTAGGAAAAGAGTTCAGATAACTACTTCCTTGGATGACTTTTGTCATCGAAACACAGCATGAAGGTTGGGGCACGGTCATGGTTGAAAGAAATAAAGACAACCATTGGTTTCAAACAGGAAATGAACAGCGGTCATCTACGGTATCCTATCACTGTTGATCTAAATGTAGCTGCAAGTTTAGTTGTTCTCTGTTTTGAAAATCCAGCTGCTGTTAATGGTCACAACGTTTTTCAAACAGAGAGAGTTACTAGCACTGCTAACAATTCAAAAGTTAAATGAGTACTTTACCTTTAATCTCTTGCCTCTTCCTTAAGAGGTGCATTGTTGTGACCTCCTCCACCGTCACCATGTTTGTTGTTGTCAGAGATATTTGACTCTGAGCTGCGCTCTAGTGGATGTCTTAGTTAACGTCCTTGCCAACGTAAATGACGGATGGAAGTATGTGGGCAGTGACAGTTATATCGTTTGAAATGGAAGTATTTATTTTTATATATAAAGGAAGCACAAATGAGGCTGTAGACTTTTTGTTAGGTTGAAGGTGGGCGGGGCTATGATGGGAGTTTTGATGAGGTCATCAGTCTAACAGAAAAGTAGGGAGATGTAACTCGAGGAGAGATGTGTAGGACCTTTACATTCATTTATCTGTTGCCTATATCTTGGATAATAAACAGATTACCCAACAACAGATTCTGTTGTGGTCAGATGAAGCTGTTTTTGTCACAGCTTGTGGCATTTCTAACCTCAGTAATTCACGTCAGACACCAGGTCTTGAGCAGAGATCTATATTCTTACTTGTAAACCCCGATTTGAACCAATCCAAGCTCATTCCTAAGCCCAACCAGCCGATCCTGTCTAAGCATATAGTAATGAGAGGATCAAGAAACTCACATTCGTCCTGTAGAGCTTTCAAACGAGTCTGTCAGAGCCAACTGTGCACAGCCGTTTATCAGCCTAATGTACAGAGAGAGCAGAGTGAAGCAATCAGGATGAGAAGTGAGCAAAGAGAAGAGTGCAGATGCAGAAACTCAATAATCACACAGCGTTCAGAGAGCGTCTGTCTCTCTCTCTCTCTCTGGGTTTCTGTCTCTTTCTGCCATTTCTGTTTCTGTCAGATTTTTTGTCCATCTCTGCTTTTTCTTGTGTATCGACTGATGGAACCAATGTTGGATTCAACAAAAAAAAAACGGTGTTCTACTTGCAAATAAACAGATTTGTGAGAAAGGTGAGCAGTCAGAGGTGAAGGCAAACATATCGGACAGGGAGAAGACAAAGACTAAATCCACACTGCTCTGGAGTTTTCAAGCCGCCAAAAATGGAGACTTTTGGAAACACTGCTAATGCCATTGTCTGGACGGGAGAAAGGGAGACCTTTGGAAACGATGATATAGACACCCGCCTCGCCTCCTGATTGGGTCTTATCATACCCAACTACCATGGTTACCATGGTTGCTGACCTTGTTGTCTTTGCTAGCTGCTGCTGTGCAGTTAAATTCTGCATTTCATTCCCTTTTCTGTTCCTTGTTTGTAGTATTTTCTGCAGCTAACCAACTGCAGAGTAGACAATAGACAATCTGTGAACAACTGGCATGCAAATGGCCACTGTTCGTGAATGCTCATGTGATATGTGTTTTCAGGTGTGTTAGCATGGACAGAGATTATATCTGATTCAGAGTTCAAACGCTTGTCTGGACGGAGATTGTTTTTGTTTTAAAACACCATTTTAAAATGAAAGCTTTTCTTTTTGGTTCAGATCAGAACCACAAGCTTGAGTCTTAACCACAAATCATTGCTGCTGTCATAATTGATGCAGCCTCCTTCTTCGAATTTCACACTGAAACTTTCAGGAGGAGAAGGGACTTTTATGGAGCTAAAACGCTCATCTGAACGGAGATCGTTTTAATTTTAAAACATTTCAGTGTGAACGTAGCCAAAGACAAAACCAGGATCACTAAACACTAGAGAAATTGACAGAAAGTACAAAGATGAAGTGGCACTTAGAGACAGCACACAATAGTGAGGGGAGACAGGTGAAACTAATCAGGGAGGGTCCAACGATCACAAGTATCAGAAACGAGAGTCTTACAAAGTAAAAGGGGAAACAATGACTGAATTAGTGACATAAAGAAAAACATAACCAAAGGAGTAGAGCAGAGCATGACTTCTTGTTTCCATCTCCCAATGTCTCTTTCTGTCTTATCTTCCTCTTTTCTCTCTGCCCCTCTTTCTCTGTTTCTCAGAGACAGACAACAGAGTGAGAGGAGGCAGCAGACATCTTGACATGTTTACTCACAGCCCTCAGGCTTCTGCTGTCTCACACACACACACACACACACACACGTGACATATCTTTGATCGGCTTGTAATGATCCTGATGAGGTGCAGCGATACGACAGATCTCATCACACCGTAATAACCTGTACCGAACACACACACTTAGATCAGAGTGATAGTAGTATCTCTGTAGAACGCACACACACACACACACACACACACACACACGTGACATATCTTTGATCGGCTTGTAATGATCCTGATGAGGTGCAGGGATACGACAGATATCATAACACCGTAATAACCTGTACCGAACACACACACTTAGATCAGAGTGATAGTAGTATCTCTGTAGAACGCACACACACACACACACACACACGCACATACACACAAACACACACAGCTGTATAATTCAACACACCCAGTGGCAGTAATTGAGCAGTGTTTGTGTGTGTGTGTGTGTGTTTGCACACGTGGGCTTGCAGAAAATAACTAGGGCCCCAGTGAAAATGAAATATTCACACACAAACACACACACACACACACACACACACACACACACTTGAGTTTGTAGGATTACACACTCACCAGTGAAATAGACTAGTAGGGGTGAAGACATCAATTTTCAACCCTTGAATTAAATCTAGGTTTCAAAATATTCTCTCCACATACATCACAGACTGTAATTCATGTTGTGTGTGGTGTTATCAGTTTGTGTGGCGTCGCTTTTTGATTTTGTCTTTTTAGAATAGAAGAACTTGTTTACATCCATGTCTAAAAAGAGAAAGAAATATTGGAGCTGTGCTCTTGTTGTTATAAATATAAATGTTAAATCTCTCTGACTGCTGCAGTCATGTTTAACTCTGGAGTCAGGCTACCTTCGTCTTCACTCCAGAAAAAACAAGTTTATCCATCATTGTGTGGCCATTGGGAGAACCGGGACTTGCTACACAAATCGGGCCTGTGGCTATTAATGTTGCTTCTCCAGGTTTTACAATCTTCTACAAACAGATTTAATGCAATAAAAACTCAGTTTTACATATAATGGCTGGTGTATGCAGAGGTTTTCTTACCTTGTAATTAGGTTTGGTTATTGTCGTCTTTATTCTATTTATGACATCGTAATTCATTTTTATATATATTTCTATACGTATAACAATGTGAAAAAATATTATCATGAAAAGAAAAAAATGGACAAATTAGCAAAGCTGTGCTGTGTCAAAATTGTAATCAAACACATTAACTGATGACAAGTAATAATCTGAGTACTTAATCAGATCTCTCTCTCTCTCTCTCTCTCTCTCTCTCCTCCCACCCTCCACTCTGTCTCTTTGTCTCTTGCCCACCCTGCAGTGATGGTGCAGGAAGGTCTGGGACCTACGTCCTGATTGACATGGTCCTCAACAAGATGGCTAAAGGTGGGTGTTGCCTTCTTTTCCCTTCCCCCTGTCTTCCATTGTTACCTACTGTGTGTGTGTGTGTGTGTGTGTGTGTGTGTGTGTGTGTGTGTGTATGTGGTGTTGCGCGCGTAGTCGTGCTGCGTTTGCGTGCGCGAGATGTTACCATGGCAACGTATATCATGTGTAAAATGTAAAGTTGGTTGATGGCATTGAAAATAATGGTATTTAAGTAGATAATTAAAGTGATGAGTAGGTACGAATGACATTTTCCATTAACACAAAACAACTCAATCACGTCGCCGAGCCAGAGAAAACAAGCTTTTACTTAATTACTGCAAATTAATATCTGTTTCATTATCTCAGTGGATGCTGCAACAATTTGGCAGCAGCTTCTTTCCATTCTGACATACTAATAAATTTAAACTCTATGAAATCCAAAGGAAGACGACAAGATAAAGGAGGGAAAGAAACGGAGGTGGAGTATGTTATGGAAAAGAGAAACTACAGAAGTATGTTCCTGCTTTAAGGTCTACAAACAGTTTAGAATCAAACACAGTCGTCCATGAACACTTTATTTCAAGTGTCATCAGGACTCACAGCCAGTGCTTTTGAAGCACATTGTGAGTGCATGATAATTACTATAATTAGAGTATGATATAATAAACACAGTGTAGTAATTATGAAGGGGACTGAACATTTCATGGGGGCTTTGGCAGTTCATGACACGGCATTAAATGAAGTGCCTTTTCTGTCTGATTATATTTAATTATATCGAAATATACAAGTATTTAGATTGATATTCTTTTTGGGGCAAAAGTGACTTTTAGTTCTTCAGTTTATATGATTACATCTGTTTTAAGCTTGAACTTGTGCTGTACATATTCAAATTCATGACCTCTCACCACCACACAGACGACTGTGCCTTCAAATTAAAAGTCCCTCATAGAATGTGAAGTTCCATGCATGGGTTTAACTTCATAACTGATTATCTGCTTCCTGTATGACAGTTGTTGAAAAAATTAGGCAAAAGGCGGCTTTTCCTATTAAAGAATTACTGTGTAGGACGAGTAGTGAAGTAACTACTTCTTTAAGCTTCAGTACAGAGCTGTCACCATATACAGGTATTGACGATAACCATGATATTTAAAAAACTGATATTCTGTTATTAACACATGTGTTGGCAGATGTTTGGCACTGTGGATATTTACCTCATCAGTTCATCTTCTTGCCGTTTCACTATCCATTGAGTACAATCGTTCTTTATGTTTCACCTTTGCACAGTTATGGTCACAGACTCTCTCTCCACCTCCCTGCACTTGTATTTGAGTCTAATTCACGGGGTCAGATGTTTTTGAGATTTTCAATTGAGCCATGAGTTGTTAAAGTTTGGGAACCACTGCACTAATTCATTTGTCAAAGAAGAGACAAAACCCACAATAAACAAAGTTAAAGTTAGTTTGTTTTTTTTTCAAATTTTCAATTAGTTAACTCAGATCTTACACATTGAGTTTATGTGTGTATGTGTGTGTGTGTGTGTGTGTGTGTGTGTGTGTGTGTGTGTGTGTGTGTGTGTGTGAAGTGTCCTGTGGTGGTGCTGCTGCTGTAGCAGAACGAGCTCCTGGGTCTTTAATTCCAGATCAAAGGGTCAGTCGGGCATCAGGGGCCTTTTCCCAGGCTGTCACACTGTGATCAGGGGCCCCGGGGCCTCTCTTCAGCACCCAGGGGCCCGGGGATGAAAGGGGTGGGGCTGGGTAGGAGTTGAATCTCAGATTTACTTTCTCAACATTGTTTTTATTTATTTATTTTTTTTATTTGAGTTTCTAATTCTCATCCAGCCAGTTCCAAAATGGAGAATCCATTTAGAAAAACATCAAAAATGAAAAATGTCTGACAACAGAAACACAAGTGAAACTCAGTGGAGGTAATGATGCACAGCAGGAGGAGACTGAACAGAGATGTAACCAGCTGATGATGGCAGTGATGCAAAAATATTTTGTTTGCCAACCAAACAGAAGAAAGAGGAAGAGATGAAGTATTTCAGTGTGGAGGGGCAACTTTCAGAAACAGACCTGAAAACACAGATTGATCCACCTCAGTGTGACGCACTGATCATAGTTTTAGTAGATCATAGAGTTGAGTCTTTGGCTTGACATTTAGTGAAGATTGGAAATCTTAACTGGCTCCATTATTGGAAACTGAGGCCAAACCTTCATGGTGAAGTCTGAGATTTAAACAGTATTTCATTAGTTATCTCTTTGTTAGTGACGTAGGAATCAGTCTGAGGGCAGGGTCTTGTAAATAGGGCTGGGTATCTGTACTGATGCCATATCAATTTCATCAAATCTATTTGAACAAAAATAAAATTACAATAAACATGACGGTACAAATTTTTGTTTGAGTAAAGAGACCAAGCTTAAAAAAAGTAAATAAACAGCCAATCACCAGCTTTGGTCTGAGCATGCTGCATTCTGATTGGCTCACTGACGCTGATGAGATTTACACTTTTACTCCTCAGGTATCGAATGACGAGACATTTTTCCATCCTCAATGGTATCAAACCAGTTGGGTCGGTCCATAAAAGTATCAAAGTTCAATACCCAGCAAAGTGAGTGTTCAGCAACACGTCAGTGAGTGTGACATAAATTAAATGGGATGGTTTTGACAGTCCTCTGTATGAGGTTTAAACCTGGAGTGTTGTGGAATCTGCTAATCTGTAATCCTTCAAGTTAAAACATGAAAACCATGAGTTAGAAAAATCCAGTGACGCCATGAGACCTTTGGGAGTCGGCTGTTTTCTTTCTCTTTGCTCTGTTAGTGTCAGTGTGCATCATTTTTGATTTGCTCTTCCATTCCTTTGATATCTGCTCAGTAAAGTGATGATGATGATGAAGATGATCAAGTAATTACTGCACTCGATACGTATTTGAGGTATATGTATTTAACTTGTCCCTTTTCTGCTGCATTATAATCCTACTCCTGCACAGGGAAATCTCTTATAGTGATTTGGAAATATATTTTGAACAAAACCTTTGATCATTTGAAAAAATGAAAACTTAGCTCTAGCTTCACCTGATACAATTAAAGGCCACAGTTATCAATAATAATAATCCAATGATACAAGGACAGAAACCTAAGATATTTTCATGGCAATGCTGAATGAATGCCATCATTACATACAGTTTGTATTTCTCAACTGCTCATATCTTACATATCTTGGTTATGGTGTTTCAACATTAAGCAAGAAGAGGCTGTGGTGATGAAGATGTGCTCTACGTCAGAGCATTAGTTGCTGCAACTTATTAAAATCTCTTCCTGTAATCGTGTGTCGTACATCTTCCCATCCTGCCTCAGTTTGACTCCTTCACCCATAAGTCAGGCCGATAGTAGCCTCATCAGTCGCTACCAACAACACATCCTGGATATAATGCTGCAACACTCTGCTGGTAATACGTCTCTACTTTAACTAAAGGGGACTGCAGTCCCATGAATTTTCACCACACACTCCATGATACAACTTAAAAGCATCTTCCTTTAGACCCTCCACAAACGTCTGTGTCCTTCAGACCAAAACTAAAATGTAAGATTTGTCTCCGAGGCGATGTTCTTGACAAATCTCCTTTAGAGAAACAGGCTGGTTTTCCCTCCACTACATCTCTGCTCTCAGCTCTCTATCCCCCCTCATTCTGGGGGAGTTTTTGTCTGTCCTGAGAAGCTGGAGCCCCCCAGGTTTTGTGGGCTTCCTCCATCCTGATCAAAGACACTTTCCACCTCCTCCTCCTCCTCCTCCTCCTCCTCCTCCTCTTCTTCCACCCTCTCAGACACAGAATCGCTCCTGTTTCCCTTCCCCTCCCTCCTTCCCTCTTCCTCTCCCCCCCCCCTCGCCCTCTCCATTCCCACTCTTTTGCTCGTAAGGAATGAATTGTAAATTCGTCCGAGAATTATGGCGGTGTTGCAGGGTTGAGGAGGTATTGCTATGGTTCTCACGTTTTTAGTTTTTTTTTTTTTTTTCTCCTCCTTCTTCTTTTCCAAAAGGCACCCCCACCCATTTCCCTCCTCTCTGTAATGTCACCCCCTTCTCACAGCACCACCACCACCACCCATCTCTTCATCTTAAGACCTGAATGAAACCCATCGAGTGCTGGAGAGCTTTTCACCATCCCACATTTTTTTTTTTTTTTTTTCCCCAGGTCCAGCTGGTGAGCTTGGCCCTCGGCTTCAGCTTTCGTGGGTCTTTCACGGCCTCCTCAAGGGCCTCGTCTTTCTTTTTTCATCTTTCTCTCCTCCTTCTCCTCCTCCTCTTATAGCCCCCCCCCCCACCCTTCTCAGTCCTACTCCTGACCTCCACCCTGAAGCGAGGCTCTTGCAGAGGAGGGAAGCTCAAAATGAGGCTGGGTTTTTTTTTTTTTTCATGCTTCTACCATCTCCTTTTAGGGAGAGTTTTGCAAGGAGGCGGGTTTTTTTTCTTAATGTCGTCCATTTTGAGGTTTATCAGAACCTGCACAATAGCCCTCGGCTTGTTAAGTCCCCTCCACCCTCCAAAAAAAAAAGAAAAAGAAAAACTGAAGCTGTGAGTAGTGTGTTGCAGCTTCTCTGACTAGAATGGAGCTTATTGTGTTGTGAAAAGGAAAAAAAAGCTCACAAAACCTGTGAAACAGAAAGGGAAAATGGTGTGAATGAGCAGTTCTCCCACCATTCATTTTCCTCTTCATGCAGGCGAGGAGAAGCAGTGTTATTATGTGTCACAACAAGAAGAAAGTAACGAGGATTCTTGCGCTTTTTGTTTCTTCACAATTTGGACAGAGGAGGAGGAGAGAGAAGAAAACGATTAGAAAGACAATAAATTAAAATGTTTTTTCTTTCTCTTGTTCTTTTTGAATTTAATCGTTGCTCCCTGTCTCTTTTCTCTCTGTTTCCTTTAAACGTCTTCATTTCCCCCTCAACGTCTATTTTTTTTTTTACCCTCTGTTTTCAAATCATCTCTTTCTCCTTGTTTCTCTGTCTGTCCGCCTGCTCTTTTTTCAGCTAATGGCTGAGAAGCTGCAGCTATTAATTCTGCTCTTCTGACATTATAAAGTGACATAAGGTCCATTTAAGCTCAAAAGGAAAAAACATGATTTTAAAAAGAAAAGATGTGCTTGCAAAGAGACATTTGTCTGAGAAAACAGAAATGGCGCCCACAGTTTAAGATTGACAGTGACAAAAACAACCTTTTTAACGCCTTTATTTTTTATATATTGTAAGTTCATTAAGATCATCTAATTCATTTACTTTAGCAAAAACAATATATCTGCAATATTTGTGAATCAACATCATCAATGAAACTTATGGAGTTATTGCATCAACTCCTCCAACCAGACCTCAGTTGCCATGGTTACAATAATAAACGGTCATGGCTTGGTTAGGTTTAGGAAAAGATTGTGATTTGGGTTAAAATAAGTACTTCCTCAACATAGGACAATCTTTGTTGTCATGGTTACAATAATAACAATGTGGTTAACTTAATTGAACAGATAATAGAAACAACATAAACTGCTACTTCCACATAGGAATCAAACCCCGCTCTCCTGTGTCATATTCCTCCACCACCACCTCCTCCTGATGTGGACTTTGTCTCTTTATACTACATCACCGCACTTTGCCCCTGTCATAATTATTACGACCACTAGATGTCGCCTAGCAACAAAACGTAACTATGAGTCATAATAACCTGCTGCACAGACGACCTATGCTCATATTGTGAAATTTTTTAAGCAGTTGCGTATTTATACGTCCAGTTATGGCACAACATTATCATTCATGAAGTTGTGTTTCTGTTCACCTTTCAAGTCCAGTATTTATTCTCATTTGGCTTTGTGTTTGGTGTCCACCAGCTTCTGAGGCAAATAGCTGCTAAAGGCTCTGCTATGGATGTCAACAGTGGCAACAGTGGCCCAGGACAGCTAAACAATCAACATGGACTCGCTATAAAGCTCCATAAAGCGGAGAGGATAATGCTCTGTGAGCATTTCCACGTTGTCATTTGACATAAAAACAAATTATAGCCACTTTACAAACCCAGTGATCAAGTCTCAGGTTTGGTAAAAACTTGAGAAAAGAAATAAGATCACGTCAAACAGACACGTTTCTCTGTGCTCATCCCTAAAAGTATCATCATGTAATTGTAATATATCACAATGTATAGTAATCTCAGCAGTGCTCAGCCAGAGGTCATTGAGCCGACTGCCGGCAGCCACGCTGCTGTCAGCTGTGGGGCACGGTGCCAGTCTGGCACGCGGACAGGGGCCACACCGCACACAAGCAGGCATGTCAGATTTTGGCAGGGGCTGATAGAGCTGTGGTGGGCAACGTCCACGAGCTCAAAAGCTACAGGACGACCGTCAAAGAGCGACAAGGGGCTTTGAGATCAGCTCGGTTTCTTTTAGAAAATGCTACAAACGTGCGGCTCTGTGATTTCCTCTTTAACAGTTTCTTTTCACTTTATCTTTTCTTCATTCTGACAACAAAACACCACCACCTAGCTGTTTGTGGAGTGTGTGTGTGTGTGTGTGTGTGTGTGTGTGTGTGTGTGTGTGTGTGTGTGGTGTGTGTGTGTGTGTGTGTGTGTGCTTGTTTGTTTGTGCAAAGAGCCTGAATGTAATCGCCTTTTGCCGTTCTAAAGGGAGTCGGTATAAAACACCAGATTGACAGATGTTAGCTGGATTAACTTGGTCACCCTTTGAATACCGTCCAACACCATTTTATTTGTGTGTGTTTTTAACTGTGTGTGTGTGTGTGTGTGTGTGTGTGTGTGTGTGTGTGTGTGTGTGTGATAGGTGCCAAGGAAATTGATATCGCAGCTACTCTGGAGCACCTTCGGGACCAGAGGCCAGGAATGGTCCAGACCAAGGTAACACAGTAACACACACCTGAATCCTGTTTGTTCATGTGGATTAATTAAGATTTACATTTTAAAGATCCTGCCGACACATTATTTACCATAGAGTAGTGTGTGCTGCTTTAGGGTGAATGGATTGGATAAAGTGTGTGATGTAGCATCACTCAGTGTTAGGTTTGGTATAGGTTGCTAGGAGACAGGAGGTAAACATCAGTCTGTGGTGTTGAAGTTAGACACACTGAAGACCAGCACATCCACACTTTGAGAACCAGTACTGGGAGTAAAGGTGCAGTCACTGGAGCACAGGTCTCTGTGAACATTCACCTCGTGTCTCATCTGAAGCCCATGCAACTCCAGCACTGCTCAGTATTTATTTATTATCCACACTGACCTGTGACGTCACATCGTCTTGGTTTTCACTAAAGGCTTAACATGGTACATTGCGCTACTGTAATCTCATGACTTTCCCAAATCATTAGATTATTGACTTTGCAGGTACTGTCCTTGTGCAACCGTCATGTTGTTACATTACTAACTTCCTCAGTGCTTTTTGGCTTTGGCACAAAACATAAGCAGTGGTCGTTTTAAGCAGCTCCGTCAAAAGACCAGACAGTAAATAGATTCTGATCACTTAGTTAACAACCAGGAAGTCCCTCCAAGGAAGTGAACGGTGTGATCCAAATCATAATTAAAGCTTCTGAGGAAAGTAGCATACGAATGATAAAATAAACCTTGAGGATAAGCATTCAGTTAAAAAAGAAATGGGAGAAGGAAATTACAGAAGATGATTGGCGAAACATGCGGGAGATCCATCACATGGAGGAAATTCTCCTGGAAAAACAGCTTCATCACAACAAAGGTGAAAAGCAAGCAGTTAAACCGACAGCAGAAATTTTGGACAGAGTGTGGATCATTTGATATAGATCACACACGTCTTTTGGAGATCACAAAATGCTGTGTGAAGTATTTCAATAAATAATAGATTATAAGATCTGACCTATGAGTTGCATGGTACTTTACCTTTGTAATTTCACTGAATGTAATTGAACAGGAAGCAACAGATATCAGGTTAAATACTGTTAGTAGCAAGTAAAAAGCTATTATAAGGAAGTGGAGAAGGGCAGAACCACCAACAAAGGACCAATGGCTGACATTTAGGGCTCCACAATAATAATCGAAATTGCAATATGGCCAAGTGCAATATGCAAATCGCAGGAGCTGCAATTATTTTAGGTAAAATGTGTCACAACATTGTTGTGCATTGTTAGCACCATAAGCAGTGTGGTGCTACAGAGACGCCCCGACCTACAAATCATATTCTCCAGACGTATGTTTGTATGATACAAGAATTTTTTTCAGTGAAAGTCAAATGCAAAAACAATCATTCCAACTGAAATTGCAATATCGCAATATCTGCAATACGATTTTTTATTTTTTTGCATATCATGCAGCCCTCACTGACAGTTATTTTTCTCATGGATAAACTGACATATTTCATTGAGAGTACAAAAATCTAAATTAGGTGAAAAATGTAGAAAATGGACAATATACAAAAGTCAAATTAGCGACGTCAGCAGAGCTGAATGAGTATCTAACCACGGTTTGGTCTGTGTTGCTGACACTATTTGGTGTTGTTGGTTTTTGATAAATAAATAAAGATTTAAGTGGAAAAAAAGGAATGAAGTTAAAAAAAAAAAAGAAAAACGGAACAAATGATTAATGACACATTACATCAGGGGAACAATTGCCATGTAATCTACAGCACATTCATTTAAAACAGCTGACATCTGATCATCAGGCCTCATCACTGTCTTTACTGAAGATGACGGCTCTGTCAGGGAAGTTTGTAAAGAAAGTTAGTTTGAGAGATCGTCTCCACAGAGTCACAAATGTCACCTTGTCCTTTGTGAATCTGATATTTAGTCGCTGACAGTCGCCGGGATCAAACCTGCGACCTTCACGTCCAAGTACAGTCTCTCTAACAATCAAACACACCTCCATTAAAACTGTATTTTATCTCAAAGTCTGGGTTTAGCTGGTGTTCTTTGTGCCCCTGTTGTGAGATAGGATGGATCAATTGATTTCTGAAAAGAAATTTAGCGGGGATTACAGTCAGGCTCGGCCTGATCACGGAGGAATATGTATAGAATTCAAATGGATGGTGATAATCTGTGCTAACACCTGCTCCCAGTGGCAGCGCCGCAGTTCTACTCAACAGAATGATACATTTTTTTTATTTCTAATATATTGTTTTAATTATTTGACGAGTGAATAATATAGATAACAAAAGTTAAATACACATTTGATCTTGTTTTGAAGACAGAAAGATTTTAAGTCTTTGTTGGAATAATATATATATACACATTCTGTAATTCACACCTCTATTACAGCCTCAGCAGGATGACACCGGGACCAGTCTGGAAACTTCAATTACCAGCTGATCTCTGAACATAATTAGAAAGAAAAGCCAGGATGTGTAGAAAACATTGTCCGTATCGATCCAGGCTTTATTAAACCATGTATCCTAAGCAAACAGCTGTCACGGCGCTCCCCTGGCGTCCCCTCTCACATTGATTCCCCCCATGGTCCTGAGTCGCAGCGTCAGCACTGAGGAGGATGAAGGAAGATGTTGTTTGTTCCTTTAACCCTCCACTTTCTGTAAACTAAATGTTAAGCATGTGTAGGTTGTCTGTCCGTGACTAAATATGACCTCGAAATATTTCAAATTTAAGGATTATAAGTGCCACTAATGTTTAACACAAGGGCATTTTAATGCAAATCACACAATATACTGCTGTTTTTGCATCTTAGCTAAATTACATCAACTTTAAATCAAAACATAGATTTAATTATTTTTTTCTAGAAAAAAATGCAGTGGAGGTTGAGCTCAGTGTTTTCAGCCCTGATTAGTGTCTGCAGTCTTAATCTCAGGTTGCAGGATATACGAGCCCACCAGCTCAACCTGGATTAGGGCAGACTGCGTGTATCCTGACAGTTAAAACCCAGGGCGAAAAAAAAACCCCACTAAGAAGTCCTGCCTCTTTTTGACGCCCCCGCCCACATGCGTACCTTCGCATACTTGCAGGCTACGTCCACACTGCTATGTTTTAGTTTTAAAATGTATTTCTTTTGCTACGTTTACTCCTGGCATCCACACTACTCCGGAGTACTCGAGCCTTCTGGAAACTCTGCTGGACACATTTTAGTTTGGAAACTCTGGGGCTGAGTTGTAGACTTTGGAAACGATGATGTAGACATCCATGGTCTCTCCTGATTGGGTCTTATCAGCCTCAAGTACCAGATGAAAGCAACATGGATAATAAAATATAAGTGTTACTGACCTTGTTGTCTTTGCTAGCAGCTGTATTTTAACGCTACAATTGCCGTTTTAATATCAAAACATATTAGTGTAGATGTAGCCTATTTTTCAGGTCTGGACAAGGCCCTTTATTCCCAGTGAAGGTGAATCATAATGCTACAGCATACAATGATATTTTAGACAATAATATATTTCCAACTTTGTGTTAGTAGTTTGTGTTTGGCCCTTTCCCGTTTCAACATGGCGCTGCCCTCGTGCACAAAGCCAGGCCCATGAAGACAAACAGTGTTCCCAGTTTACTGTGTTAAAGGAAGCAGGATTCTGCAGGACTTTGTTAAGCAGCCAAATCTGATATTCCAGGTTGTTGTTTGTGCTGGAACACCAGGTTCATCATCTTGCCAAAGGCCTCTTTGGCAGCACACATGTGTTTCAATACTTTTAACTTTCCCTGTCTCTCTCTCTCTCTCTCTCTCTCTCTCTCTCTCTATCCTCTTTTGTTTTGTTTTTTTTTCTCCTGTCTGCTTTCAGGATCAGTTTGAGTTTGCGTTGACGGCCGTTGCGGAGGAGGTGAACGCCATTCTGAAAGTTCTTCCACAGTAGGAAGGAGCACCGCCTTCTGACAGATGTCCTCCACTTCTCTTCTGCTCCTCTTCTTCTCCTCCGTTCCCCTGTCCTAACTGGAGGATGGTCCCTGTTACTGCTTCCCTTTGTTTTCTCCTCTCATACTTCTCTCCTGTCATTTCGGTCTAACCCTGTCTCGTCTTGTCTTACCCTCTGTCCTCCATTCATCTCTTCGTTCCTGCAGTCATCCTCTCTATTTTAACGAATCACTTTACATTCCGGCTCCTCCTGTCCTTTCTTGTCACCGTCTTCTGACTGTCACTGTCTCTTTCGTCTCATCTCCTCCCTTCCCTCTTTTTCCCTCTCGTCTCCTCTCCTTTTACCTCCTCTTTGTTCTACACCTCCTCTTCTCTTCTCCTCATCTCCATCTCTCCTTCCATCTTAGTAAACATTGTGCCAGGAAACCGTCCAATCGATCCTGTACATAGATAGACCTTCCTTCTATTGTAATGATCCATGCAGCCTGTTTTCCAAAGTGACATTTCACTGCATTTAAACACATTTTGATAGATTGATGAAAGTGTTCCTCTATGTTCTGTTTAGAGTATATTTATTACAGTTTCCGTTTCTAGATGAGCATTGACCCAATGGGCGTCAGCTGGGTGAAGCAAGGTTCAGTGTTTTACCGAATTGACGCTGCTGATTGGTCTTTGTTTTGACTGAGTGTATGATGTTGATCATCGCGTCTGTATCACTAAATCGTATCTGTGTCAGATTTTTAGTGCCATGCTTTAGTTCACATGTTTCCATGCATTATGCTACAGTGTCACAGTGTAACTCAAAAGCGCCCAGTGTTGGTCAGTAATGTAGATATGAGACAAAATATTTTATCTCCCAAGAAGGCTTATTTCTCCTAAGAGTAAGTGGTGAAACATTATAAGAGAAGACTCTGGAGATATCCCACTTATTTTAAGAAAGGAGGTTAAATAACTTCTTTTTTTTTTATTGTGTAATTTTGATCATCCCAGTAGAAGCAATATTGTGTTTCTTCAACATGAATCGTTATCTCTCGTGGACAGCCAATATCGCGGCTTGTCAGTGAAGTAACACTAAATGTCTGCCTTAATAAAAACACAATAGATGTACTGGTAAACGTGTGTGTAGCCACCTGGAAAACGAGGCTAGTGTGCAACGCTTCATTTAAAAAATAAAAAAAAAATGGCCTCACTCCAGCGGATTAACCTGTGGATTAAAAGTTTGCTGTGCTGGTACTTAAAGAAAATCCCTCTGATAAACGCTGAAGAACATGGAGTCTTTAATAACCTGGGAGCAGGAAGTTAGCCTCTGTCCAAAAGTTTATGACACTTCAACAGCAGTAATATTGTCCCTATCTTAAACATGGACCACTGCACACTGGAATGAGGCCATTATAAAATAAAGTGTTTCTGACTAGTACTTTTATGATAAAAGGGGGTAGTTTGCTTTTGAATAGCAGCTCTTCTATGTAGCATTAATGGATGATTGGTACATGTATAGTAGCTGAACCTGTGTTGCATTGAAAACTAGTTTCCAGTGACACTTGGCTGATTTTCCCAAAACCATCTTTAAACTGACTGGGTTTTTGTTCTGTTGTTCTGTACATGAAAGGAGCAAAAACAATATTAAAGGACCGTTTGTTGAGCCAATTTATTGCTTATGCTTTAAAGGTCCGATATTTTACACTTTTCTCGTTTGAAGTGTTGATCCGTAAGAAGATATCATTGTGGTTTTAAGAACCATCATAAAGTTCCTGACGGCTCAGTTTCTGACATTTCTCTGTGGACTGAGCACTTTTATATAGAACCTAGACCTGCTTTATGATCAAACACCTCATAGACATGTACCTTCACTCTACATTTCACCAAATCATGTTCCTGTATTTCACTTCTTTGAAACAGTATTTTACCTGTTTCCCAGGCAGCCGCTAGTTTCCATTAATTCTCATATAAGATAAAAGACTAACATTAATTGATGTAATGAAATAATCTAGAGCAGTCTTTTCAAATCAGTTTTCACTTGCAACCACTTTACCACGCAGAAATAATTGAACTTGCTCTTTATTTAAATGGAAATGTATTGGGTTTATTTTAGATTCATGCTGCACAATTAAAAGCCTCCAACGGCAGATAAACACAAGTCACATTACCCACAAGTAGCCTGTATATTGGACAGTGCTGATAACCTGTCAAATTCAAGTATTCGTGCGGTAGTAGTGTTTTGGTTCATTAGAACAAAACACCACTCCGATGCTTGGGGTGAACACATCCATTACCTAAAGATGACTTTGGGAAAGCAGCTCGTAGTCGGTGTAAAAATCAATGCAATTTCACTGCTTTCAATTGACTGATAGTGAGTGAACAGTTTTAAATATTTTATCCATCAAATCCTACTTTTGTTTATCCAATCTTATTGGAATCACCAATAAGACTTGCATACACTATGCTTCTAGTGCATGGCTGTTTATTCAGCAAATGAGTATGCTGTATTTTCTTCTCTGTGGCCTCTAAACTCAAACAAGCGTTTTATCTATTACCTTCACTTCAAACTATCTATTGCACAAGAAGCTCCGAGGACCTTAACAGTGCAAAAGCCAAGGATTATCATCTCTAAACCGGTGCAGATCGTGGTTTAAGTGCGTTGAAAGGTGGTGCAGCATCAATATGATGCAACACTGCAGCAAGCCGCTGTCATGTTGTTGGAATCGACTCCATTTTTCATCACAAAAACTGAAACATGCTGCAAGAAATGCTCCTTATCAAAGGCTGTTTGATGTAGAATGGGATATTATTTTTTTCTGCCTGTGTAAAGAAAGTGTCATGGATGTTATGAAAATGTGGAAATAAGGGAAACTGCATTGAAGGATTTGAGATTATCACATTCGCCACTTTTAATGCAAGTCAAAACTAAACTTGGGCGTTTTTATTTTTGTTTGTTTTTTGCAGTGCGGTTGCTCAATAGGTCAATTTCTCTCAAAGCTGTTCTTTCTTTCACGCACTCCATCAAGTATCAATAGATGGCTGGTCTGTTGCATTAACATTCTGTACATAAACCAAAACAAAAAATAATAACAGAAGATATTTTGTTCTATTGGTGTAAACAGATTGTGAATAAAGTCTCAATGTCGATGCAGTATTGTAATGCAATCTTGACTTGTGAGTTTTGTCTCTTCTTTTTTTTTTTTTTTTGTCTCTTTCTTACCACAAGTTGTACATAAAAATGTATGCTTATACACAATCATTTTCCCATCTGGGTGGGCGGTTAAACATCTGTTTTATAGAGCACCGAAACAACTGGCTACATTTTAAATCAGATACAGTTTCATTAAGTTAGATGTGATTCCAAACGGCGTCCTTCAGTAGACTGTGTTTTCAACTCAACATTCAGCTTATCTCAATTTTTTCTTATCCTTCACTCATCTGTTAAAAAGTTTTCTGAGACCAGCTACTCTTCTTCTTGGGCAACACATTCACGGTGCAACTTCAACCCTTCTACGGAGCATTTAGCAGTAGCTACACAGGTTTGATACGAACCACAGGTTCAGGGTCACAGTTTGGTTTCGTCCTACAGGAAAATGAAAAAAATAAAAATTAATAATTGAATATGGTTGGGAGGCGCCCCAGTAGCTCACCTGGTGGTGCGTGTATTATTTGGGTGGAGTCCTGACTGCAGCAGCCTGAGGTTCGAATCTAGCCCAGGCCCATTGCTACATGTCACACTCTGTCTCTCTCTCCCCTAACTTTCCTGTCTCTCTCTCTATCTCTCTCTCTATCACTGCTCATATCATAATAAAGGCAAAATCCCCCCAAAAAAACCTTTAAAACTGCATATGGTCAAAAGGTCAGCTAAAAGTCAAAAGGCAATGGGTCTGTATTAATCCAACTTAATTACAAAACTGTGCACTAAGGCTGTCATTCTGTCATTGAAGCCAATATTCAAATCAGATCTGTACAAATTCAAAACTATGCCTTTGACTCCGGTGGGGTGCCGTTGCCTTCAGTAAATTTGGCTCTTCTTATTCTCTCAGCGTTCTCTCTTGCTGAAAATGCAACTGCCTTACACTCTGTGACTCCATTTACACCTGGCATCAAAATGCATCTCATATCCAGTTTGTATCTACATATGATTTTAACCTGATCACATTTCCACCAGGTATTAATAAGTGCCTTCTATGACCACACTGACATCCGATGTCAGCTCATGTCACATCCTCCTCTCATGTACTAATCCAAAAAAAACAACAAAAACAACAAAAACAAAAGATAGAGGAAGAATAGAAGATGGGTGATCTCGTCTTCACTCCATCCATACGTGTCTTGAATAACGTCCATATTTGAGGCCTGTGGAGAGGACTGATTCATGTGTTTAATGGCTAATGGCTGCTAGCTGCCTAGCTGCTACCTTGCTAGTTTGGAACAGTGATGCACAATTACGTATTTCCACCCACAAAGTTGTTGCATGTGGACTGACAGCACAATTGCATTAACACTTGTGTTCAGTATGGTCACAACACGTCCCTGACCACCTCAGCAGGTGGTTAAGCCGATCGGATCATAATCCGTCTTGGGTGCATTTAATCCTGTACTTTCATGTGGTCAAACACTATCTGACTGCAGCCATTTTAATACCAGGTGTAAATGAGTTTTCAGATTTTGTGAAAGAAGTGACAGCTGTACTTGTGTAGCTCTAACACATAAAGGTTCAATTAGCTTCAGGTTTTGGCCTCTGCAGGACAGGAAGACAAAGAAAAAAACAAGCTGAGAGATACACAGCTACCAATATATCCTCTTCAGACACACACCTGCTCATCTCCAGAAAAGCTTGACAATATTAAACAGGTTGATCATCTCTGGTTTTAATCGCTGCTTAAAACCTAATGGTGACAATCAGTTCCTCAATTTAAAAGCCTTTCCGTGGCCATAATCAAATCTCACAATCTCACAATCTTCACACACAGTCATGACGCCTGCTTGTAATTGTTATTCAGCCGGCATCTCCTCAGATGAAACGGAGTGGATGAAGAGCTTTTTTAGGGTGCTTATTCAGGTGAAACAGCAGCTCGGAATCGATTGTTGAGAAAACACTCTGGGTACATAAGCTTGTGCCGCTGGCCGGCAGTGTTGACTTAGAGGGTAGGAAGTAGGGAGATCGATTTAGCAAGACGCTGCTTTCTTCAATGATGAGTCATATGAGTAGATTTAGAGTGTCTAAGTGCTGTATTTTCACACCGAGCTGCGTCCAGAGGGCACCTTCCTTCCACCATTATGTACACAGACCCACATCAGCTGCCAGGGATGAGGACAGATCCAAGAACAGAGGCTCTAAGTGTCAGAATGCATTACTGAATATGTAAAAGGTTCATGTCACGAAGTCTAGATTGACACTGGACAGAGGAGATTTTCACAAAAGATAAACAACAAACTTTTTTAAAAAATAACTCATCGATAGTTTATGCATATACTTACTTTAGATTTTGATAGTAAAACTAAAAAGTGTTAACAGCAGTCGAAGCCGTTACAGCAGTACTGGAGATAGGGAGGCCCTTGTTTTTTTTTTTTTACTTTTGTACCGTTAGCTGTTGAACTGAGCTGAAACCCAACACTTACATTTAAAGGTGTAATCCTCAGGCTCTCTCTCTGTGTTGTTTGCTGCCATATTATGTTCATTACTGGTGTGCTTTTGTTGCCTAAACTACAGACAGGACTGTGGTCGTGAACCCTGGTCTCTGATGTCCCCATTGTGGCCTTTGTACACCCACCATCCACCCCAGCCTCCTCCTTCCATTCCTTTTAAAATTACATAATCCAGCCAGCGATTACATTTCCTATAAAATGTATTTGCTGTTGCAGTTTAGTGTCGAAGAAACGTAATTTCTTGCTGAAAGTTTAGCTTTTTGCAATTTTTTCTTTGTGCATTTGAGTGATGACTTCATTTTGCAGTTTTTACAAGAAAAGAGAAGCCTGAAGACATTTTATCCAAAGAGGGGGGAGAGATCTGATACATGTCTGCTGTAATTAATGAATTAATCTTGTTTTCAGGTCCCCAGGAAACCACTCTTGTCACATTTTAGCCCTTATTGCCGGAAATTTTGCGCAGCCCTGAAGAAGATGAGTTGTAAATAGTCATTATTTTTAGTTATCATCATGTCATTTGCCACTGCTGGTGAAGCAGAACAATCACACAGAGAGACATGCATTTGCAGAAATTAAGTTTTCAGTGAGTGAGGAGATAAATGTTTATTTTCTCTTTGACACGTAGGCATATTTGAAATTCTACAATGGGGATTTTAACGGGTTTTTAAAGGCCTGAGAGGTCATGAAACTCATTCAGCAAATAAATGACTGTGGGAACTTTAAATACAAGTGAAGCGGGAAAAAAACATAATTGCCTCCACGTTTTTTTTCTTCCCACCAGACAGAAGCATTATGCACTGAGACTCACAGTCGTCTACTTTATTTTACATCTAAACAAGATGCCCGAGCATGCAGTTATAATGCCACCGTGGCTCCGCTTCAAGTAAAATATTGTCAGTTGTTCTCCTGGGAGCTAATGAGGTTCAGTGGAAGGCGGCAGTCACGTCTGTGTGAGGTTCAAAATCCTCTGCTGTTTTTTGACATAGCCGTTCGCTGTGTCATCGCCGGCCCGTTAATGGGCCGTGTTGTTATTCCTGCAGCGAGGAGGAATCAGAAAAGACTCATTGCGGTTTCGAATTTTGCTCAGAAATGAGATGTCTGCAGTTTCACTACAGCAGTTCAAATGTTTTGTCCCCATTTGCACATCAGTCAGGATGTTCTGTGACTGTTCACTGATCAATAACAGATGCTGTGGACGGCGTGAAACATCATCTCTGAAATGTCAGTATTTCAATGGCGACCACACATGCACACACGGGCGCGCACACACACACACACACACACACAATTACCTTGCATCACACAGTCAAGTGTTAACTGATTATTTATCTGAGGGTTTACTGAGCTCACATAAAATAAAACTCAATCATAAAACTACAGCTGTAAAATCTCCCACTCGGGAGCTTCCAGCACTAACAGGCTCCTGTCGCTCAGCTGTCATGGTTCAGGAACTTTCTAAAGGTCACACACACTCAATATCTCCATTTGCACACTGGCTGCGTGGCGCGCTGAAGAACATCTTGGTTATCATTTCGGGTTAGATTGGACACACTCGCCTCGTGGCTAGGTCACGTGATCCACAGCTCCAGCGTCACACCTATCTTTCAGCAAAAACAGACGGGGAAAGGACATGCTGATGTCATAGTGACATCATACCAACAACATTACATAAGATTAACACCTTTCATCATAGTTTCAATGCCTGGACTGATATTTTCAACCATTCTAGCAGCTGCATGTGGAGACTTTTCAGTGACGTTTTCTATCAAAAATAAATTAGAAATGAATTCATAATGAAAAGAAATCCTGCATTCAAGTAACCTGCAAACTCTGTAGAGAGATGGAGCTGGCAGTAGCTATGCAAACACAATGCAGGCAGGGTGTTCCCAGCGTTATACTTAAACGATGTTATTCATGCAGAGCCTGTTATCATGTGACCAAAGGTCTTTATTTCAGCACACCTGAGCAAATTTCATTCACTGAAAAAGTCATCTGATAAAGTGAAAGCTTATAACTAATAATAAAAAATAAAAATGTAAAATAATTCAAATAAAACAGCTTATAAATCAAAACCAGTGCGATAAAAGCAAAAAGCAGCAGAATTTGAGCAGCGTATCCTGACAAAAAAAGTGTGACTTTCCTAGAGAAGGTTTGCTACTTGTTCATGTTAGTTTTCTGGTTGTGGTTTTTCCCAGCCTGCCCCTGGAAATTCCCTGCATCCTTTAAATGCCCTGAACCTGAGTGTGAGAGTCAGGAGGTTGTTTCACTGCTGTGAAATCCTCAGAATGAAGGTGAATGAGGGCAGTTTAAACGGACTGAGCCCAATTTTCAGTGATATTTACAACCCAATTAAGCTCATGCAACGTCCAGGTGTATTTGCACGGTTCTGTGCGGGACTTGAACGATTACCACTTCAACGAGCCCCTTCAAAGAGACTTGAAGCAAATTATTAAAATGAAAAAAAAAAAAAAAATTCTTTAATTTAAATCACCCCTCAGATCT